ATATTATGTATGTATCATGCTGGTTTTTAAATAATATTTAATACTATTAAGTAGAATCTAAAGGCTTTATCTATAAAAATAGCGGTAGCGCTGTAGCAGCAAAACCTCGTATCGCTACTTAAATATGTAGCGGGCGCTACCGCTACCGCTACATTGTCTGTAATGTAGCGCCGCTACCGCTACTGAAAATGTAGCGGCCGCTACATGTAGCGCGCTACTGCCCACCTCTGCCTATTATTCAATATTTACCAATGAATTTGTAGCTTCCGGTGCAAAAGTTAAATTTTCCTGTTTATCGTATTTTTCAAGATTTAATAAAGAAGTGCGCCATCATAATTTTTTTCCGGCTGAAGCAACTAAAAAAAATAAATAGCGGAATTTTTCCAGAAGAAAAAGACCCTGCAACCCACCGGTTCAGTGCCTTACACAAAAGTCCTGTTGTAATAATTCATAATTATAACTCACGTATCTTTTTATAGACTTGATTATTTTCTCCGTGATTCATTAAACATAAGTGTAAGCGTAAAACTGGTTAGATTGTGGCTGAAATTTTTATAACATAACATAGTGATGTCGGTACTGAAGAGTAGACCTAATGTAGCCTGTCGCCGATTCTTTTACTTTTCGTGACGTGTACACAGGAGATCTAAAAACAGGTCCTTCGAACGGATTTTTTCGAAACTGGCGATAGTTTGAAATAGCTACTAGACTTCCACCAAGTTCGATATGGTGCTAGGCATTTTAAGTCGGAACATATATTTCTCCATAGCTATCGCTGTTCAGGAACTCATTCATAGACTCTCTTAGATACGCACCGGTCGGTTTCACGGAAAAATTGGACATTCTTTCTAATTACTTATTTTGTAATCTTTTAATTCGATTATTGTTCTATCGTGAACGATACTAACAAGGAAATCCTGACCGTCATGGACGAGCTGAACGGAAAATGTTAATGGCTCAAACACTTATAGAATTTTTTGCTGCTACGTAATGGTTCCCTTCTCAATTCTTGAATAACAAGAGAAAGGATCGAGCAAGCGACTTTGAAATGAATAAAGGTGCATAATTGCGCTTTAAAATTAGATTAAAAGACTACGGGTGGCAACTGAGTAAAATGGTAACGTGAAAAATTAATCTACAAAAAATTTGTGTGATCATAAACTTGCGAGTAAATGATAATGTTATATTGTTTTAAAATACTGAGGGTGTTTCACATTTGCGTACATTATTCGTGTGAGAGCAATTTCCTGAACGGAACTTTTGTGACATTAATTATCACCGATTACAATTATGTGTGTGTGTACTCGAAAACCTATATCTTTCAGACTCCCGTTTGATGCATTTTTTGTAGAAATATTGAAAATTATCAACTACGTCACAAAGCAATATCCATACTATGTCACAATTCTATCGAAACTCTACGATTTTAAGTTGATATGCACTAGCCACAGCACCCTTCACACCATAAAATTCTTGTTTCATGCTCCGGCCTGAGGTCAAATCAACGTCCATGCAGCTCATATTTACGGCAAAGCAACTGTACTTTAATGGGAATTCCCATCGGCATTACATATAAATGACGGATAAGTCACACTGTCTATTTGATGTGGTCTTTACCATGCTTGCCTTGAGCCGACAATTACATATTAAGAACGTAGACGCCAACTGTAAAATTAACCCTCGACTTCCTGCTCACCACACCCTTGATCTCGACACTTCGCGTCAATTCGGTCGGGGTCGTTGCGTTCGGGAATCGTTTGGAATCTTGGGCTACATTGAAAATATTTAGAGTGGTTGGGTCAGCTCATAACATATTTCCACTTATCAATTGCGTTTTTAATAGTTATTTATTAATAAAATGTTTATATTCAGAAGCTTTTATTCCACGTTCAATGAATTTCAGCAAATAAAGTCCGAACTCCGCGCATTTTTTAGCGTGAAAAACTCCTCGTAATATTAAATAATTTCTCCTATTCGTCCTATTCCCGTTTTGATTAGATTAATTTCATGAATTTAATTTCACAATGCAATAAATCTCATATTTTGCAATATCATTTGAAAATATGACTGAAGAGTGAGTGTGTCATTTTTGCTTACTGTCCCATTAGCCTATTCTGTCGACCCATAAACATTTTGCGATGTTCCTCCCAGGCTCTAGTCTAGGGCTTCTCGATCTTAACACTTTCACGATTATTAGTTGATATATCTCCTATGATCAGAGTTCTAAATACCTAGAAACTTGGATCAATCAACGGAAAGGCATGTATCTTAATCAATCAGCATTGAACCTAATCTCAATCGGTCAGCAGAGAGGCTTTATCAATGCAGAGGCATTGTAAACGCCCCTTTGGCTTGGGATATAAAGCGTGCAGCGTTTGTGGCTGATGAAATTTACTTAATTAGGACGTGGACCTGCCCAGAGAGCAAAATACGATGTACAGTAACGGAAACAATAAACCGGTTTAACAAAATTTTGATAATATGACGAATCACGAATATGAAGCAAATGAAACGTATAGCAATATACTGAACAATGGGCACATGATTCAAAGAGCCTAGCGACTGAACATAACTTACGTTGCTTGTCGAGAAGTCTGAAACTAAACAAAATTGCGACAAAAAGGCGGCTCTGAGATGAATGACGGCTGACAAGTGAGATAGGCCAAGACGCTGCCAAAACACCGGGCGCATATGGTTCTCGGTATCCAGGCTTGAACCTCAATCAGTAAGCAGTGCGTGAGACGCTGATCTCAATTAAGCAAAAGAAACCCTTATTCTCAATAAATCATCAGTAAGACTTGATCTCAATCGGCTAAAAGGCATGTATCTCAATCAAACAACATAAACCTGATCTCGATCAATCAACATAAACCCGAGCTCAATCAATCAGCCGAAAGACTTCGATCTCATGTCAATCAGCCGAAAGACCAGATCGTAATCAACCATTAAAAAGGAAAAAGTAGCACGCACACACAATCAGAAGAAAAAGTCCACGGAAACGATCTCACCGCTAATTAATGACAGGCAGTTTGTCTCTACAGTCGCGCCTTCACTTTCCACAAAAGCTGTGTTGTCTCGTGCCCTTTTTATTTCAGTTTGACCTCATTGACACAGTATTCACGGCCACCGCATTCAATCTCAAGATCTCTATTTTTCACGTTCGATTTCCCATTTTGAGTTTATCAGAGATAAGATTAAATGATGTCATTGAAAATTGATAATTGTATGCAGTATTTTTACAAAATACAGTATTTAATTCAGGTGGCACTCGGCGTTCCGCAACATATTTGTGACAATAATTAAATAGTATTATAATCGATTCATACGTGCTTTCAATTTCTTAAATTCATGTACGCGCCTTATTTTGTTAGATGGCATTTATAAATAAATAATTTCACCAAATCATCCTGGACACGCCCTATATCGCGACCACGTTCTTCCTCATTTGACGTCCTGGGCGGCGAGCCGCCGATCTTTCCTCGGCCGCGTATGCGCCGGCCTCGATTTTGACTGTCGCTGCGGTGCTACCGGTCGCCCCTCCAAGGCCGCGTCGCCGCAGACACGTCGGCGGTAAACGGCCCCCGATTTCCTAGTTTTCGGAGGGACCGTCAAGATGGACGATTGATATCAGATGATTTGCTTGTTTCAAGGCCGGATCGATCGCCGAAAAATACGGCGGAGTAAAATTGTGCAAATTTGGGGAGCGTTTCACGTCCGTTTGGTAGTTATGAGGTGTTGATTCATGAGGTGTCTTTAGAAGTTGATTGAGAAGGACTATTTCCCGGTTTAGCCTTCTTCACTGCATTGTAACTCCGCTTATAATAACCAAATGTTTAATTTCTGAATTTCAATAACAGTTTTTATTCAAATTCTCAAACGTGCAAAGAAAGAAGAAGGTATCTGGGGATCCTCTTGATCATCTGAAGGAGCCGCAAACATTGAAGCTATCGCGTTAAGCACATTCTTATACCATCAAAAATAACTCTTAAGCAAAAATTTTTGCCTGATTTACTTGTAAATAACCTCGTAGCGGTTTGAAATAGTACAACGTCGAACATAGAAATGTTGAGTACCAATTAAGATTACATTTGAAAAAATATGAAAATCCATGTAGGTAAATATGTGTACATCAAATACAAATATTACCTGCAAGTTGCCACTTGATCAAATGATGGTGAGGTTAAATAAAAGCGATGCATAACATTGAACAACCATTCAATTGCAGTAATGAAAAACAAATTTCTTTCTTCTCGAGAAAAAATAGAGATGACATAACTTTTCAAACCAGAATTCACCACCGAAATTTTTAGTCCGATACATAACAATTAAATTAAGTACGCGTTATGAACTCATTAAAAATTTTTAGAGATTATCGCAGTCATAAATCTAGAAAAATAAACGTAAAAATTTGCATTGCTCTCAAAATTGAGTTCTACGCTCATCGAGATACGAGGAGCCATACAGACGAGGTTGCAAGTTTTGCAAAGTTGAACGAAAATTTTATCAAAAATAATATTGTATAGTATCAAAGATAATATTTTAAATATTTAAGAAACTAAATAGTTAAAATATTCATCTAGAGTTAGAAGCAAAAGGTGTCACGAATCATAAATACATATAAGACTTTTTCATTCTTTCATACATGACCAAAAATCATATTTTAGATATTTAATAAACTGGATATTCAAAATATCCTTTCCAAATTGAAAACAAAGTGTATCACGGTAATCTATAAAACTTTGTCTATCTTTAAATCCTTCTATATTTCAATTACATCATCGGAATGTGAGGCAGCCTTCAGTAGACCATGTAAATGAACAAGAAGTAAAATATTCCACTCCAGACCGATTATTAAATCATTAAAATATTTTCATCGACCACAAAGACTTGCATGATTTGCGAATTATTTCCCCTCTTGCAGTGCACTGCAAGTTGTGAAGAGGACTGGATGCTCCGCCGCCTATATAAAGGCAGGCACGGCAACAGCTGACACCAGTTCATCTCAAGCCGTGGTGACGTGAACAGCTCCTTCGTACTCAGGTAACTACCATGCGAACGCTTTCCAGGCGCAATGTCTTGATTTTGCTATACTGTTAGTTTAGGATTTCGTCCAAACCGGTGTATAAAAGTTCAACGTTTGATGTAGCGCAATTTAAGAATAACAAATAAGAATTTTCTATAAATATTTTTACCCGATTAACAGCAGAAAGGAGATTTCGGTCTTTCATCAAAACATTTGTTTATTAGAATTCAAACGTCGCTTTACTGCGCTAAGAATGATTTCAATGTGCCTCGTCACCGCCAATAAATGCGGCATCTTAAGGTTCTACTGTGGGTATCTATTTTCATGCGTTGACTGCAAAATATGAATGATTGTATGGGCAATGAGCAAAATCATCGTGAGTAAGGGCAATGAGCAAAAACTCGCCAACTTTATGGTTTAAGTTGTAATTATTTTCAAATAATCCTTGCAATAAAAGGCGTGATGAAAATGGTTCAACCACCAACTGTAAACCCAGTTTAATCTCTTCAGAAGTTTCGTTACAAAACGCACGGTTTAAAGTATAAAAAAAGTTTTAAGGAATATTGAATTACACTCATTTTATATGTGTAACTCGCACTAGAAAATGAACATAATGTTGATATCCGCCTATTTGTCTAAACTGTACCCTTGATTGGGAGCCTTAAAACTTTGCGCAAATAAGTTTTAAAATCGCTCATTTTCTTTCCTAAAGTAACTCATAGAAGGTCAATTGAAGTAACCGTTGTGCATAGCAGATTAGCGAGTATTGAAAACAATTAAATAACTGCTTTCAAAATATATTCTTGTTTTGTGATGCAAGCATTTGGAACTATTTGAATATTAGCATCTGTCTCCTCGCACCTCAGTGAGTGCGAACAGTAAGCTGCTGTTCAGTTGAATTGTTCAAGTCTCGTTAGCGCTGTTGAGACATCGCCGCGCTGGGAAGTTGAACCGCTACTCAAGGATAAACTCCTTCGTTAGCAAATGCTGATATGTGAGCTCGACTGACAGCCGTGACCCTTCACGTCACTGAAAGGGTTTTATTCAAATTTGATGTATTTTACAAGCATCTTCTTTGCCAAATAAATTATATTCCTGTGCGTTTCAATTGCTCAAGTAATACGAATTCTTGTACGCGAATTGTATTAAGCTTGTTTGAGAATAAATTTTGAGGGCAAGGCGCAAATTTTCGCTGTCCAAGTTCCTAAGGAAGTTCAAGCATTTCTTTTGTAAAGTACAGAGTTTCTTTCAATTTACATCTTCGACAATAACAAAAGTTTCTTTAGAAAATCTCTTCCAAACCTAAAAACACCAAATCTGGTGGTCGTCCGAAAGGATTTGTGCGTACACAAAAATTGATGCGCATGGACGTTTTTCGTAATGCACAGCGTATATATGAACCGGTGCTGTAGGATTCAACGATGCGCTGAGATGCGTGTGATATTGTAAAACGCTTCTTCGTGGTCCTTGCAATAAAAAATAATAATTGGAATAATTCAGTAATAAAACTGAATACGGGATAACAATAATGATAAAAAACTTCGAATGTTAAATATAAATTGTGTGTTCTGTTTGCCCCAGTCACCTATGAAATCTTTACGAGAAACTTCTTCCAACAGATCTTAGTCTCAGATTCAGCGAATAAAATATTCTTTGAATCGGATTCTTTCATTAATTTTCATTCTGAAACTGAAATTCATTCTTTCATCAATTTTCATTCTGAATAAACTGAAATACTGGAGTATTGATAATAGGTAATCAGATCAAATGAATTATGAAATTAAAAGGCCTACTATAAAGTAATAATAAGTTCAGGCAATTTTTCAGACAGCAAATAAAGTAGTCATTGAAACGCAGTCATAGTCTTGAACACTTCACTTCATAGGTGATACATAGTTTTTAAGATGATATCGGACATATGGCGGCCCCCATCATCAATGCATTTAGTTAGTCGATTTTTGAAGTTTCGTTCAAGTCGCTAAAGCAAATTGATGGGTATATTGGCGATGGCTCGGCACATGTTGTTCTTCGAATCGGGTAGGGTCCTTGGACAGTCATTGTAAACAATTGATTTAAAATAACCCAGAAAAAATGACACAGGGCCAAATCGGGGATCGGGCCGGCCAAAGAAGGTCCACTCTCAAGGAAATGAGGTCAATACCCCTCAATATGCTTAAGCGAGTTGAACGGAACTTGAAAATTCGACTAATTGAATGCATTGGCACAATGGGGGCCGTTATTTGTCTTATGCCATCTAAAAAACTTAATAGTACAAAAATTCAGGTAATTTATTTTTCAATAAAATTCATATTGTAATGTTATCTTTACTAGTTCATTCTTTGTTGAGCTTTCAAATCAGGAAGTTTTGGTGAATCGCCCTGCACACCACCAGTTAATATAAGGATGCACATCACAGCTACTCCTTAATGCTTGCATAATCTTTTGTTGAGTGGCAGCTGAATTGTTGTCTGATATTGTTCAACAGGTTATTTCTGCAACAATATTTTAGGCAATGACCACAAATGAATGATTTGATATGATTCTCAGTATGCTTTTAAAAAACGTCTCGGCAAATACAATACTGTTGTGTGTTTTTCGCTTCAATCAATCTATCTTCTTACAATGATCAATCATTGAACTCTATTTCATAATATTGATCAATGAACAGATCTCTGGTGGAATTACTTGTATTCGCAAGACTGTCGTATATTATATTACTACAAACTATATAATGTTATAGCGCTACTGTTTGGCTGTGTCTACCTTTATAGTTTTCCGGTAGCCTAAAGCAACTATGGAGTTGTTACACGCGTAACGCGTCACTTAGACCATTTGTTGTCACAACCACTGTACTTACAGGTAATTTTTGTGACACACATGTAATGTGCTAACGCCAGTGCTGTTACTGAAGCGTTACTAATGTCCCTAGCTGCTTGCGCTCGCGGCGTTATGGGATGAGGTAGAAATGCAAGACCTTTAGCGTATTTTGTGAAGATTTAGCTGACTCACAGGGTTACTATTTTAAATCATTTATTTCAAATTGAGTCCCTAGATGCTTTGGCAGGTGATCTTCAGTCCTTGGGACTTTGAAGGACTTCAATTGAAGGACTTCAATCTTCATTTGAATAATTTAATTGCAATTTTTATTTGGGATTTGGGACCACAACATTCAACTGCATAATCCACAGGTCATTCATCATCGATGAAGTATTGCTACTAAGTTCGTGAATAACTCATTGTTGTATCTTTGTTATTTCCAGTCAAGATGAAGTTCTCAGTCGCTGCCGCCATTCTTCTATCAGTCTTGGCACTGGCCCACGCCGACGCCAAAGCCGACGCCAAAGCTGACGCCAAGGCCGATGCCAAAGCCGAGCCGTCAGCCAAGCCATCAGCCAAACCAGCAGCCAAGGCAGCGCCTAAGGCCGCTGCCAAAGCCGAAGCCAAAGCCACCGCCGATGCCAAGTCCGACTACTTCCCAACCGCCGCGTTGCACTTCGGAGGGGGCGGCGTTCCCCTCATTCCTGGGGGAGGATACGGAGGACACGGGGGGCTTGGGGGCCTGGGAGGATTTGGGGGAAAAGGAGGGGAGCATTACTTGCCCGTGGCCCCCGCTGTGCACCCAGTGCCGTGCTACGATGACGCTAAGGTCATCTACTCCACCATCGTCGAACAGGTAACATGTTGTACAATTTAATGTTTTCGGTACTGCAGTATGCGTACTCCAGTACCTGCATGTTGTACTACACTGTGTGTAGTGTACTTGTATTGGATAGTGTGCAGACATTATATAAATATATATTTTGAAATAAGCCCATGGTGACATATGAATATTAAGAATTTCGAACTTACCTCAACCTCTAATGCATAATTAGTCGAATATTGCAGTGCAGGAGCTAATAGTGCAAGAGCATATATTTAAGTAATTCTCGAACATCGGAATTATCGGGATGTTTCAATTGATATTAAAGTTGAATTTTAGATACATGAGTTAAATAAATTTTCGCTCCCAGGTTCCCCTCTATGAAAAAGTATATGAGACTCAAGTGATTCCCACGACGTTGTACAAGACGATCTACAACACCGAGTACGTGTCCAAGTACATCACCGAGTTCGTGCCTGAGTACATCACTAAAGCTGTACCAGTCCCTGAACTGACGTACATTACCAAGTACAACACTGTGTACAAGACTGAATATCAACCTCAGTACATCACCCAGACCGAATACGTCCCTAAGTACATCACCGAAACGCAGTACGAACCAGTGTACAAAACTCAGGTGAACTACCAGACCTTGTACAGTACCATCTACCAGCCGCAGTACGTCACCAAGACCAACTTCAGAACCAAGATTACCTACCAGACCGAGTATGTTCCTGAGTACGTCTCGGTAACGGAGACCCAAGTGGCTTACAAGACCGTGTGCCCGAAACCTGCTTATGGTTACAAGCCGCAGTACAATGCCTACGGTTAAACGGATTCAAGAAATTTCGTTTCATTGCGTGTGATATTATAAGCAATTAATGTTGAAATTTGGTTCAAACTGGAAAACTTTCGACGGCCGGGCATTCAGTTAAAGAAAAGTGGTACAATTAACTGAAGCGAAATTTCCCAAAAATTTCAAAGTATCTAGAAATTGTTTTTCTTTATTCCAAAAATTTATATAAGTGAACAAATATTACAGAGTTCTAATGCACCAAGTAATAATCGAGTTTCTGAGATGTGAACAATGTTTTTGTCGAAACGAATGTATTTAATATTACGGAGCTAATAAATAGATCTAACATTCACTTGATTTCTGTCGAGTCCTTCCCAGTAATAAAATTTAAGTTACTTTCTACCATTTAAAATACTACTTCACGGAATTCAACGTGATTAATTCAAGTTTAAAAATGCATTACTGGCCAGATGTGAATAGAACGGAATATCCGTAACCCACTTTCGGCTGCATGAAATACGGATGACGCGTTTCTGGGTTGAAATTTTTATATTCTCTTTAACGTCCGCATTTTTGAGCGCTGTATAAGGAAGAGAAATGACGGAATTTAAATATTTAGCAGGCTGAAAGTGCCGACACCTCAATTGCAGTGCTCGCCTTTAGTCCACTTAGTGATTATTCTGAATCCAGTTCCGCAGTTCCTTTCTCGCAGTTCATGACGATAACACTTTTTCTCTCTATTGTTTCCTCATCTGCGGAAACGAGGTCGCCGTATCTCCACGAAGTGATATTCAACCTCGGATAATTGGTCACCTCATGGCAGAAAGAGAGTGTAAGGATCACTCTTGTGTAATTGAACGCAAAGAAATGAATATACTCAGTCTAAATATTATATAAATTAGGTAATATATACATATAAGCGTTACGATATCATTATTTCTGTTAGCTGTGTCACCCAAAAAATAATAAAACAATTGATCCGCGCTGGGAATGCTTGTCGTTAAATTTTACATTAAATTCTCGTCTGATACAAAAAATCCTCGTCTGCAATTTCATTTTCAGAAACTTCAATGAAGTCAAACTCATAATTCTTCATGCGGTTACTGTTCCTCATTACAGTTGCTCACTGACTCATCACTTAATAACTGGAGATGACTAAACCGTATGACTATTCAACTTTTAATTGTTATTATACGAATAAAAGCATAGGAGCATTTACCAGGTGTTAACTCGAATACTAAATACTAATTTTTTCATAAAGTAATGTTTTTCATGATGACGAAGCAGCTCAAATTGAATGTTTAGGAGCATCAAAGTCATAGAATAATCTTTACTTACAAACCCGTCATGGCAATGATAAACTCAGTCCTAAATCACGAACAAAACAATAAATTCGTCTCCTTCTTTCAGGCACTAAAAAATTATCCATCGCACGAATTATATCAATTCTACATTCTATTACGATTGAAATAATTAATATTAATATTAATAATATACCAATAGTTTATATACAAGATATTCTTCATCCGGAAAGATCCACAAGTACTTAGCGCGTCCAGAGATTATGCTGGACTTCATGCCGTGCCGGACGAAATACGCTGAAGTCAAAGCAAAAAACACCAACAACCATCTAGTCTCAGTCTCGAAAATACCTGTCCGATAATGCCAAAAAAAAACGTTAAATACCTCACTGCTGAGATAGTGCACATTAGTTACGTCGATCACAGCTGACTGCAGCAACAGCAACATCAAGATTGCAGAAATTGTTGAGAATTCAAATGAGCACCCGATAGAATTTTACTGCACCTTATAGCAAATGGAAATGCATTGAAAAATTAAGCATCAATTTAAAAAATCAGGCACAGATACGTCTACATAAATAGCGGTTTCAGCGTTTATTAGGCTTTGGGCCTGCCACTGATTCTTAACATCGTAGAAAATTCACAGCTTGTTGCGGTCTCGAACTTACAACAAGCTGCCCTAATTTTGCTTAGCTGAAATGGCCTGGCTCCTCGCGATTCTGACACACATATCCGCCGATATTGCACAGAGCTGTGATCAAACCAGCACTTCTCTGCTCTAATTCTTGTACTCTGAACTGTTGCCACTGGACCATCCTTCGTAGCAAACTAAAATCAATGGTATCTAGGTTTGGATCATCAAACGATCCATGTAGTTTAATGCTGACGCGCAGCGTTATTATTAACGCAGTGTCAAGATCAGTGTAGAAGGACTTCAGTAACGAGTCATGAAAACGACGACAACGGGACTTGGGCATTTTCGTACATCAGTTCAGTGGCCTTCGAGAAGATGTGTGTTCCCCTGAGTCATTTGATGTCGATAAGAAACTTCACAAAATGACTGTATCAACCTAATCATGAATGAAATCATGCACGATTTTTGAGGTGATATCCTTTTATATGAAACACATAGAAAAGTTTTACTTTTCCAACAACAATGATATTCAAGCGAAACTAATATCAACCATAACATAATTTACAAATCGAACTTAATTAAAAAAATACAACATAACAAAAACATACAACGAATATTTGACAGCTAAAACTTAATAAAGATTTGATTCGAAGTTTGCTTCGTCTCAGATTTTCGCCTGAGCGAAAATTTCGCTTCACACCTCTCAGTTCCCCTCTCCCCGACCTCCCTTTCTTCCTTGCTACTAACAAACGAATAAGTTATGCGTGGCTGATAGCCGTTGCAAAGGCCTGACTCTGAAATGTCTTTTTCTCTGAGTCACCACGCTCCAAATCCAGACCCTAGATGCGGTGTTTAGTAACGCTTCAGACATGGATGATCTCTGCCATAGAATAATAGAGTCTCGTTTCTTGTAACCGGCTGGCGCCTGGTTTTCGACGACGTCGGTTACTCCAGCTAGGACATGTTCATAAATAAAGGGAAACAATATGACTACTGAGCAGGCAGTTGCTGATTAATTATCTCATAGTGAATGGCCATTTTAATACGTCGAATAATGAGTACTTTGAGAAATATTTCAGTTACTCAAAGTATGATAGTGTTGAAGAATGTAGAAGCTGATCCTACTTCGAGTTTTAGAATAGAATAGAAGTGTCGGCGTTGAAGAAATAGGCCCATGGCCTGTTGCCGATTCTTGAACTTTTCGTGCCTTGATTCACAAGGGATCCGGCCTTTGGAACCCGATCTTTCCATAACTCACGATTGATTGAGATAGCTGCTGGACTTATTGCCTGGTCCGTAATTTGCTAGTAACAGACTAGATAAAGCTATGGAAAAATATATGTTCAGATTTGAAATGCCTCGCTCCTTATCGAACCCGGTGGAAGTCTAGTAGCTACTTCAAACTATCGCCAGTCATGAAAAGATCCGATCAAATGATACGAGTTTAGATCTATGAACAAGGCACGAAAAGGAAAAGAATCGGCGACAGGCCACATCAGGCCTACATTTCAGCGCCGACATCATTATGTTATGTTATGTTAACTGCTCGTTCCAGAAATCGCTTATTTTATTGATTAATTGTTGAATATTGTCGAATAAAATTTTCATTCATGCAGATGAATTCCCAGAATTTTATTAAAATGTGACTATGGAAAACCTTGAACCCAACATCCTTCTAAATGCTAGACAAACTTGACTCAGAAAAAGCAATTGCACTTTGGTGAATATAGCTTTTATGAATTCTATTCCACCACCGGAAAAGATTTTCTTCGTTTCATATCGATATCCGTTTTTTGTATAAAAGAAATTATCATTTCGTGGCCTGACTGATTTAAAATTTTGAGTTGGATAAACTTGGGAGATTCATTGGTGTCGGATTCTTCATCGTAAGCATCGGGAATAATGTGTGAATAAACTGTCATAAATACATTTTATAAGAATGCATGAATTTATGCTTCATTGCACCGAATAAAATACGGATTAAGACTCCAATACTCAGAGCTTCCTAGAACTTCATTGACTCGACCATTAAAACGTTGGAAAACGTTAAAGCTTCGGATTAAAACCGAAGCTCTATTGCTGTTCTCGCCGTCTACAATGATTCAAAATCACACGAGAAATAAGTGTAGAGAGAAAGATATTGAATATATGTTCGTTTCCTTAATGACTTCAGCCTCCATGTATAGGCCGCACATGTGGCGCTGCGTGACCTCGCACGGCGTTCACGTCGCTTGCTTACGTCAGAGTCTCGTTGTGAAGACATGAGCGGCTACAGCTTTCCTTAGAGGGGCTTAACCATTCGTAACATAAAATCTGCCATACACTCCAAAGAAACTTGAGAGGGAGCATGACGAAGCGCTTAATGCTTATTGCTCCGGAGCGTTGCGTAAGAATAGGGCCTGTTCACTTTTCGGAGTATATAATTTTACAATCTCGCGTGAATCACACATTTCACATTCATGTGTCCGCATCTTGCGCCAGGGAAAAAGGAAAAATATAGTTAGGTAAAATCGTGCTGAATTTCTAAATTCATTTGGGAGGAGTTATTAACGCGAAAAATGCATAGTAATACGTCTTGGAATTAATTTGTGGTGGCTTTGAGTCGGTTTTTATGATGGCTCTGAGAAGATTAAATACAGAGGCTTTGCACTCTTCGTAGAAAACTTTTGATAGTTAACGCATTGTGATTAGTTTATACTGATTGAAAATTTGATCAACAGAATTCGCAGCAGGAATTCATAAGATATAGTTACAAGCAAAAGTTAATGCATACGGTAATTGAAAATTAAAACCTCACAACATAAAAGGAAAATGAAAGGATAAACTAAAAATCCCTCTAGCGAAGTAAACAGGCAAATTTAATATAAACTAGACGCTCATGAATCAAGTGAGCTCAGGGTGTAGTGTTTCTCAGAGAGCACACGCCCGTGTCTCCGAGTTACTCAAGCTCAGCCTTCACTTGCAATCCCAAGAGATTAGAATGAAATGACTCTTAAAGTGTCGGACGTTTACAAGAACGCAGTCCAACACCCAAAGAGTGTTCATGGTAAAGGTCATAACTCAGAGCGCAGTTGTTTATGGTACAACACTCACAAGTAACTAAAAATTTCAAGGAAAAGTATCTTAATTTGTAATTAATTTTTTTATATTATTTGCAATGTAAGATTAAAAAATTTCAGCTTACGTCTCCGATGTGACAACATTTCTAAAATTACTTTTTAGTGCAGCTACAGCATGAGATAAATTAAGAGCTATAGAGTTATAGAACTTGAACCTAATTGAAGACATTTTTTGGTCTGAAACAAGAGAATCTAAACTATGTCTTTCATGTGCTACCAATGGTAAACGTATAATTTCGAGATCTCGCACGAATTTTAGCTAGAAAATTTTCACTCCACAAAAATGGTTGTCGCCTCACGCAATATAATCTTGTGAAGATTTTTCACTGTAGCTGCACGCCATCCACCTGATCTGCGAAGCCTGTCGTTATACTCGAACAGGCAATTTAACCGACTCTCAAATTAATTTTAATTGTAATTAAGTGTAAACCCAGTGGTTACAGGGCAGGGTGGCTCAGTGGTTACAGTTCAGAGTACCAGGGTTGGAGCAGGGAGGTGCGAGTTTGATCCCAGCTCTGTGCGCCAGTTTCTGGTCAGAATCGGCAAGGAGGCCGGGCGGTTAAGCACAGCAGAATTGTAGCAGTGAGTTGTGAGTTCGAGACCGCAACAAGCTGTGAATGTTTTGCTATGTTAAGAATCGGCGACAGGCCTACGGCCTACTAAACGCTGAAACCGTTATTTTTATTATATTTATTATTATATTAACTAAACTGAAATGTCACTATAGCTAACTATTTGTTGTTGATGTATGTACAAATTAGCGAAAATTGTGGCACGCGGTGACAACGGAACATACGAATGGAACGCGAATCAACTGACTTACGGCGGTGAACACGACTCTCAAGATAAAAATGTTAGCTAAGCACCGATCAGTTTGAAGAAATTGGATTAGTCTTCAGGCATAATCTATAGCAATCAGTCACGCCATGGTTGAGGAATGGATACGAAGTTACATTCAGCTGTTGCTCCTGATAACCGTGAGAGTTATGTAATACTTCTGCTAAGAGGAGCTAAAATATAGAAGCGATGCATCGCTTGAATGATTTTCAGAAATTGTTCAATTATTGATGAATTATTATATTTTTCTGTGATTTTAAGTGAATGATGGTATTGCGTACTGTGAAATCGAGACGGTAGAATTCAATTACGTTTAACACATTATTTTCCATGGGTATTAAATTATGAACACTATTTAGTGCTCAAGATTTTAAACATGTAAATTTTCGGTAAAGGTTACGTGAAAAAAAAAGGTTAACCTTCTTAACTTCAATTAGAAAAATAAATTAAGCCAATTACTTAACCTATACTTAATTCGGCATCACTCAACATGTCATGAAAGATTATTTCATTAATAATAATAATAAAAATAATAATAATAATGATAATAATAATAATAATAATAATAATAATAATAATAATAATAATAATAATAATAATAATAATAATAATAATAATAACAGTAATAATAACGGCGCTGTACCTGCTGCTGCCCTCAGGCGCATATTTTGCATGAAGTGATAAATAGCAAGTATTTGTTGTTTATAGGCAAATGCATTCTCAAATTATTTACAAAATACAGTAGCATAAATGATAAACTATAAGAATATCAGATAATAATAATCTTATTGCATTACTTGCGCGAGCAACTTTAGAAGTCAGTTGCTAAAATATCTTAATGAGAATAAAAGACATATATAAATGAAATTAATGTTTGATGATAAGCAGCGACGAATTCGATTTCACTTAACCAATAATAAAGCTCAAAATTGGTAAAAAAAGGATATATATATACAAGCACCGAACAAGCGCATATCATGCGTATACCATACGCGTTTCACGCGTTACTATGCTCATACAAAGAGTATTACACACGCGCACCACGCTCATACAAAGAGTATTACACACGCGCACCACGCTCATACAGGGCATTACACACGCGCATACAGCGAGCATAGACGTGCATGTCATGCGTACAGCGGCCCTCCGGACATCGCGCAGAGATTGGCGCCGTGCTTAGCTTTTATGGTCACGACGGCAGCTGCCACCAAGACCATGTCAGCTGCCACCAAGATCATGTCACCTGCCACTAAGACCATGTCAGCTGCCACTAAGACCATGTCACCTGCCACCAAGATCATGTCAGCCGCCACTAAGACCATGTCAGCTGCCACAAAGACCATGTCAGCTGCCACCAAGATCATGTCAGCTGCCTCCAAGATCATGTCAGCTGCCACAAAGACCATGTCAGCTGCCACCAAGATCATGTCAGCTGCCTCCAAGACCTTACGTAAAATATTAAGATAATAAGAAAATTTCGAGTTGATTTTAAGATTTTACAAGTTACTGAACTAGTTATTGCTCAATTCCAAGCCAGTCTTGACCATAATAAACGCATGAAGATAAGTTTCGAGGATTATTTTATATTGTATAAACGCAAGGAGCTAAACTTAAAGGTTCAATGAAGTTGCCTGAGTTTAATAAGTTTGATGCGATCACTGGATATGATCCTCAGGCTATATATAAGACCGCGAACAGTGAAGCCGCGGCTCATTTCCACAGCGGACACTAACAGCGACGGAGTGCGTAGCTCCTTCCAAGGTAGCGATGCTGTGAAGCCTCCTGCTCAAATTTACAATATTTTCGTTTTGTTATTACAATCGTTTTGTCATAGCAATTTGTTCATAAATTATCAATGAGGGTAGTTTGATATGTTAAACATTAGTTGAAATGAGTATTGGAATCTGTGTCAGTTAACGTGTTCGACATTATTTCAAACAAGAATCAAATACATTCTCGCGATGTAGCTCAATTTAATTCTCAGAAATTCCTTTTACAGTATTAATGTTTCGACTCTGATGTTGCCAACAAATATTCGAGAGTTGACTCCAAAGTGACATCAACGCGTGTTGTATAACGATCCTCTCAATACAGAATTTAGTGCTAAGGATCTGATAAAATTTAAATTTACAACAGCGACTGAAAAAATATCTTATATAAGTGAATAGTTTTAAAGCAATGAAATTCTTGAAATTTTTTCCTATTTTGGATGTGAGATTTTTGTTTGCACAAATTATATAATATTAAACAACTATTATATAATTTGTGTAATATTATATACAATTATTAAATATAATTTTTTAGTTTACTCAAATTACAAAAATTATAATATCCTTTATGCACCTACCCGCGTTTTACAAATTTCGAAGAAAAAATGTTTCTTAACAACGTTGTTTTTAAACTCCCCCATACAGATGCAGCTACTACGATCAGCGATTCTCGTGAGCTTCATTGCATCCTACATGGTTGCTGAAGTGCGTTCTGAAGCCTTCCCTCTTGCTGAAGCCACTCCTGAAGCTAAACCTGCAGCTGAAGCTCGACCGATTGCAAATCCTAACCCCAGCGCATTTCCTGAACCTAATCCTGCCGCTAATCCTGAACCCAAACCAGCTGCTGAAGCCAGACCTGCTGCTTATCCTGAACCTGATCCTGCTGCTGAAGCTAATCCCGTAGCTAATCCTGAAGCTAATCCTGCTGCTGATCCTGAACCCAAACCAGCTGCTGAAGCCAGGCCAGCTGCTAAAGCCAATCCAGTAGCTAATCCCGAACCCACCCCTGTCGCTAACCCTGAAGCCAATCCTGCTGCTGAAGCCAGCCCCAGAGCAGACCCTGAAGCAGCTGCTGAAGCTAACCCGTTCTTCCACATTAAGAACAGACGAAGGTCCAAATGTCACGGCAAGCCCCACGTTATCCAGAAATACGTCACTAAAGTTAACAAGGTGAGTGACAAGTAGGACTTCAATGGGGCTACTAGAGAGCGGACATTTTTCAAAGGTCGAAGTCCCACGAATATTCAGGAATATTCATAGAATATTATGTCTTATGAATATTCGGTCATATAAATCATTTAGCTGCGCATAAATTACAATTAAACAACTTCGAGCTCATTCCACATGAATTTGATCCTTTATCATTTGATTCGCAAGAGATTCATAACAATGAATTGCATGCAACGTTTCATGACTGGGATCATTGCCGAAATTTTTTCCTGTCTCATTTATCGATATTTTCATCAAGTGAGTTTTTGTTAATTTAGATACAATCTGTTAATTAGGGGTATTTTATATTAATTTAAATACACGCTATTTATTAGGACTATTTATATATAAACTCAATGAAATCATATTTCGTTTTTTTTCAGTACCCAGTCTACCAAACGAAGCTACTGAAGGAGTACCATCCCGTGACTGTGTACAAGACGGAGTACGCCACGGACTACATCACCAAGTACACTACGGAGTACGTACCAGAGTACGTACAGAAAAAGATTCACGATCCTCAGTACCAGCAAGTCATCGACTACGTTACGGAGTACAAAACGGAGTACACTCCTTTGTACGTCAAGAAAATCGAACACGTTCCCAAATACGTCACCGAGACTGCATACGAAACGAAATATTTTACCGACGTTATCTACAAAACTGCATTTAAGACCGAGTATACGCCGCAATACGTCACTGAGACTGTGTTTACGACGTTCTTGACGCATGATACGAAATACGTTCCAACGTACATCACCGAGCACAGAACTATTGTGCAGTACGTGACAAGCTGTCATGGCAAGCAGCCGGTGGCCGCTAAAAAAGGCTACCGTTAGTGGTAATAAAATTAAAGTTCACAAGAACGCTGTTGGAAACTAAATTCAGTCACGTATTTTGTCAGTAAAATTTATCAATAATTCGTTCACTAGGTGTGCACGTCTAGCAAAATTTCATCGAGTTTAGGATGTTATCCTTTTTAGATTTGTTCTTCCATTGTCGCCTTAACTTGATCGAAAATAAAATTGATTCAATTGTTATAAACGCTTGAGAAGTTTAGGAAATGCGAGCAGTAGAAGTTTTTATAATCGAAATTTTCTCCAACTTTACATGTTACCAACCTCCAGACCTCAAGCCTTACGGGCAAGTAGAATGCTGTCTACTAAAGATTTGACTGGTGTACAAAAGAGATTAGTTATTTAATTTCAATTTGTTTCTTGTTATGTAATTTTAATTAAGGATTCTAGCATTGTTGCAATTTTATTTTTAAACGAGCATCAGTACGAACGAGAACGAGTTTGTATATGAACTGTGTGATGCAACTTCGTAAAAACATATAAAAAAACTTAAAAACGCATTTCACTTGTCAATGAATCTGAAAAGAAATTCCGATTTTACTTGGGTTTTAAAATAGTTACAAAAATGATCTTTTTCAAGTGTTAAAACATTGATTAGGCCTTATATTGATATTATATTAAATAACTTTATAATCGACATTTTTTCATTGTAATCATCATACACTTGTTGAAAAACGTCGTGTTATCAATTTCAAATGCTACTAATTACTCCTGTGCCTGAATGGATTATCTGAAAGCTTTGGAATAAATACGACCAAATAAACGCGCATTTTATCAATCCCTCCTATGGAACGTGCACGCAGTATTCAGTGCATTACCGATACGACAAGCCTGGAATAGGAAGCCTTAGTAGTTCGTAAATTCACAAGAAATGTACACTGAGACAAAAAAAAAATGTGAGCATAATTTAGCTCAGCATTTTCAAAGAGCTCTTGCATTTCGTCTAGCATAAATTATTCATTATAAGATAGCACGATTTTCCTTATTTGTTATTACCCATTCACGAAAGTGAATGAAACAAGGTTTTAGGCACGAATAAAATGTTTAATGCGATTCTGATTAAATTGTTCCTTCATTTACGAAGCCCTAATTATTTTGATCGTAAGTAATACTTAATTAACTTATTTGCATCACAAACGCATCAGCATAGTGCAGAGTTTTAAATTTTCGATGATATTTTCAAGCTTCAACATAACCTAAAGGCTTGCCTAGAGGCGAACATTAACCGCACTTTCTATTTAGCTCGTTCCTCTCAATCAAAGCATAGCGTGCAAATACCAGAGGAGAAGTGCAGCTTCCTGGATGCCCGAGGCAAGGAAGGCAGGCATCATCTGATCTTGAACAGCTAAATTCCTTTCACTGATTAATGCAATCCCACGATGTCGTGCAGCACCAAGACGCTGAATACATGTCTGGGATGAGGAAGTTGGCAATGTGTGTTTACATAGAATTTAATTTTGATATGAACGTCTGAATGCTCGAAAAGAATATTTACGCCACTATTAGTTTCAAAGTCAGTGAATAAATATATAAATAATAAATATAAGTCAGTGCATAAATATTTATGTCTCCGGCCTATATATAATCCTTTATTTCAGTAACGGATTATTGTTCAGTTCAATTACCACGACGGTAAATTTTGACGGACGTTTCAAAACTTTCCGAGTTGCAGGCTAATGTATAAATTGTTTTTGTTATCCAATCTTTGCGTAATATAATTGAAGTTAAAGCTACACAGAAAAGGAATACAAAAAACTAAAACTTACGTAGTCACTAGTTCATTTCCTGGTTCTTGTCTGCAGTGTAGGATTAACCTCTCACTTGACCGCTACGAATTATAGTATTTTTTGTGATGAATTCATAAAGGTTACTGAACTGTTCAGACATTGCACAAAAATGTAGCAATTACATTGAATTCCCCTCTAGGCCTTTTAAAATTAAAAACTTTCCATCGCATTCGATTTTTGTCAGAGCGTTTAGATAGTACAATAATTCGAAAGACTGTCTTTGGTTTTTTGAATGCCTAATTTTCATAAATATGAAAAATGGAAATCATTCAACAGGAGAACATAAATTGGAAACGAAAACATGTATTTTTGCTAATTGTTTAAAAATTTCAGAGCAACATTTGATAGATGTACAATCCTTATCGAATATTTGTTGCTCTTCCTGTCGAAGAAGCTCACAAATATGGGCAATTTTATCATGAGAGGCTTTATCTTTCATTGTTATTGCCCACAATTTAGTGAAATTCATTTCATACTTAACATATGATCACTAAAGTTCACAGTTCACTTGGCCAGTTCCATTCCTATTATGCACATATCAAGATGTCGTTGTGAACTTGACTTCTGATACTTTTCGCGGGGAATCTTGAAACCAATCACCAATCGTCTGCACCAATGTTCCATATATTGCAACGCTCCTTACCATGTTCAAAAATAAAAATTTGAACATATATTTTTAAAATATATGCTCGAATTAATTAATAATAGTTGAGGCTGTACGTAATTTTTCTCGAAAGGTACCTACGTTGAAGCGTGTGATAGCATTTCGGATCTGTCAGCAGACTTGTCAAGATAGCTGTTAGTAAATAAGTTAGTGGCACACACCGATAAAACTAAACTGATGTTTAGTTTTACGTCTAGACCTGTTGTCGCCCCTCGGAACATCACTTTTAATGGATCAATTTTAGAATGGGTTGACGATTTTCGTTATTTAGGCTTAATCCTTGACAATAAAATGTCTTTTCAAAAAACATATTTCTTCCGTTCGCCAGGAGCTTAGCAAAGCCCACGGAGTGTTGCATGCTCTATCGAGTATCTTACCTTTCTCCTCGTTAAAAATGCTCTTCTATTCGTTGTTTTTATCTAAATTTTCTAATACCCTTGTAATATGGGGTGGAGTGGATCTCTGTACAAAAAACCGGTTATCACGTTGATGAACAGGACACTGCGGGCAATCTTTAGGGTTCGATATGTTAATTATGTACCATTGATTCGTCCTAATGAATTATATAGACAGTTAACAATCCTGAAATTCGACGACATGTACAAATTTAAGCTTTAAAATTTATGAATAGGGCACTTTTTCATGATCAGCGTCTTTTTGAAAGTTTTTTTTTTCCCGCTTCTTCCTCGTCATTTTCATGATACCAGAGGCGCTTAGTCTCAACCTTCCACCGGTCCGTTTAGAAATGGAGAAAAAAGGGTACTGTTTTTAATTGTGTAAAACATTTTAATTAACTGCCTGATGATTTCAGAATAAACTGTTCTAAATCCATTTTAAAGATAAAATTTCGTGATCATATTCTTGCTCAATATCAACTTAACTTTGTTTATCATACATTGTTTTTCTTGTGACAATTTACTTATATACTGCCTTTACTTTAGAATGTAAGATTTGTATTAATTTTCGTTGTACTTGTTGCCACTAATACGTTCATACATGTCACCTATTACGCCTGCGAAGCTTTTTATAGTTTGTATGGGCTTCTCACCTGGAAGCTTTTATTATCAAATAGCATGTTTTCTCTTTCTATTGAGTCGTGCTGTGTTGCTTCTGTATGTGAAAGAATAAAGAATTTTTGTTTTTAATCAGGGAACATGCCATATTCCTGAAATTTATATCAGAAATGTATTGATAGCTGTTTAAATAGCGGTTTCGGCGTTCATTGGCCAGTAGGCTTATGATCGATTTTTCACATCACAGAACGTTCACAGCTTGTTGCAGTCTCGAACACGTAAATCACTGTTCTAATTCTGCTGCGCTTCACTGCCTGGCCTCCGCCTATTCTGACCAGAAACTGGTACACAAAGCTGGGATCGAACCCGCAACTCACTGCTCTAATCTTGGTACTCTGAACTGTGCTGTAACCACTGGGCTACCGTGCATACTTATTGATTTTGAATCATATTGATGTAGGATAGTTTCCTTTAAACTTATATGTTACATTTAACATTATCTAAAATGTTTTGAATGTGGTTACCGGTTCTTCAATTGGAGATTTGTGCTATTAATATGCAAAATCATAAAGAAATCTCAAACAGAAGTGTATGCGCATTTGAATTGGTCATACTTCCTTGTACTAGTTTCAAAACTTTGAACAAACTGTGCATTTCTCTGTCCGCCCGCCAAAGGGTTCAACGAGTTGGATCGGATGAAAAACGAAGTTGAAAATGAGCATTGGAAGGAAATGAGACTTTGCCATAAGAATAAGACAGACAATTTGACTTTCTGACGTCGACACTTGCATGACCAGCAGGCAGGAGTGGGGGCTTTACCACTGGTCAGACAAATATCGTGTGTGTAGCATTACGTGAACACCAAGGCTTGCAGGTCTGAATAGAATTACAGCGTCTGCACCAGACGAACAGCGTGTTATTAGCGTAAGACAAAGACAAAGATATTGTCACCAGAAAAACACTTCGCGGTGTCAATGTACGGCTTTCGTGCGACCTTCTCTTTCGAGGCGGCGAGATTTCAACCTTTAACGTTGCTAAGGTGAGGGCTGAGAAGTAATGGCGATTTTCAAGAACTATACGACAATATTTCGTTCCTTGAACTCTCATAAAAGCTTTATGCCAGAATGCCAGCCAAACCCAGCTTTAAAACCAGACGAAATTTGTAAACATTGATGTTCTTGATCTTGATGACTGTTTCAAAAATAATTTCACTTGAGGCCAAAAAATAAGTCACACTTTCTTTCTCTTTCTAAATTGCTGTTCTTTTTGCAGAACTCAAATTGTGAATAGACGCACGTCAAATCCGGCTATTAAAATTCGGAACAAATTCAAACTTGGAGAAATACTGAATCATTTTTTTTTTTCATTTGTAACAATGCCTAAGGATAAAAAGTACAGTATATGCATAACTCTCGATTCATATGATGTCGATAAACATGAAAATGGTGAAGGTCATAATTTCGATCGCAAAATTGTACTGCATTGAACATATTATCAATTCTCAAAAATTATCATGTATACAATAATTAAATCATATGATTAATATTATGAGGTTGATTTTTTCAGATCATGAATCGATATCAGGAAGAAGGCATCAGAGTGATGTGAGGGTTCTTACATTATATGGGATGCTCCTTAAATTTTCTCAGAAATAACTCAAGACGAATCCCATAGGTGAAAAAAATTGGACTAAAAACAATGGTAGAATCGTTGCATCATTATAATAATCCTGAAAAAACGTGCTAAATGACTCAATTTTACGTATATTTAACTTCGATTAACATTGATTGAAGTGCCATTCTCCGGAACTACTGTACGTAATTGGATTAATTTTGAATATGAATTGATCATTCTAATGGATTCTGTGCGACAGGATACAAAAAAATCACATTTTAATTAGTTTTCCCAATCATTTTAATGCATGTCGAAACTCCGTAGAGCTGAGCGGTCCTTCCGCAGTCAAGCTGCACCAACTTCACTATACGCCTAAAACGCGAGCTATAAAGAAAGGCCGCGGTCACGCCTCGGGTTCGGTTATGGGTGCTGGAGTGCGCAGTGAGAGGCTCTTAAGCAAAAATTGCTGATGTAATTGTTAAGCTCCGAGGCTTGCTTACCTTTCTTAATCTCCGAACACCCGAGCTCCGAACAAACGTAATGCTTGGTGAAAAATCATTTAATATAAGTAAACCAAGTTTGGGACCCAGTATTATGGGAATATGCTGACGCCACATACGTACATGTTTATATAACACTTTCACGAATTATTTTTAAATGGTGAATTAGTTAGTAGTTGATGTACTACTCTACTGCACTTTAATAGAGATTAGAAGATCGTGACGAAGATTTACTTTCAAACAAATTCGTATGGACTGCACGAAAACAGGTCTGAATAATTAATTTAAATAAATGTATTTTCTAGATAATATACGAACATCTGAGCAGGAAAAATAAACACCAGAATTCGCAAAAGATTTTAATAAACAATCGGCGTTCTCACTTGGGATTAAAAATAGTCAACATCTCTAAACGACACTCTACATTGGACTCGTTTACAGTCGCACCAGTCCTACTATCAATACTTACATGAAATCAAATTAAAGTGTTTCTCAATACGATATAGCGCTTCATACACAACAAATAAGGAATTAAAATAACTAGGATTTGTGTCATTAAAGAACTTTACCTTCTTAACTTATTTTTGAAAAATTGACAGCGATTTTCAACGAGAAACGTTTGTCTCTGACCATCTTTATTGGTTTTGTTTTTATAACATAGCATATGAACTGAAAAAACTTATGAATAATTTTTCAGATGATTTACACTAGGAAGTATGAGAGACGATGTACACAAGTAACCTGCGATTTCATGTTTTCGACAGGTATTTCTGAATGAACATGTTATTAACAAAAATGCTATCAAATTGTCATTCTAGTCACGAGTAACAAACTTTGAAACATTCCTCTACATTATTGAACATTATTTAATTAATAAAGAACTTGACTTTGAATCACTTAATTATGAAGTATGGCCGTAGAGGGGCTTGGAGCAGAGAGTTTTATAATCTGTTGTGACTTTAGTTATGGTTTTGTAGGTCGGAAAATAATCCGTTGTATATTCGTAGTCGCTTTGTGTGTAAATCTCTGTCACGTACGACGGTTCATACTTGGTTTCGATGACAGTTTCGTAGATTTGTTTTGTTTTATAGACCGGAATAAACTTCTTCTCTGTCTGATACGTCGGCACGTAGTCGACTTTTGTGATATGCTGCGGCAGCAGCTTCGTCTCGTAGGCAGTTTCAGTCTTGGTTACATACTTGAGATCTTTAACTGTAGTGTACTCAGTTATGTAGTGAGGAAGTTGTTTCGTATTGTATTTAGTTACATAGTCTTTGAGGTATATTGTATGGTAATAGGTCTCGGGAATCACTTGTGTCCTGTAGACCTGCTTGTAAATCGGCACCTGTTGGAAGTTTAAAAAAATATTACTTCAAAAAGTTTACTGGTAAATAGAGTCCTTAATTGGACACATAAACCAATTGACTTACTCTGCCATCAAGAATCAAATGTAATTAATTAAAATTTGTCGATTCAAATTATTATATCGTGACTTTTGTATTCAACATTCCATTTATTGCAACTGCATAAGCTAAGGAAATTTTTTGGACTCACATCCTTGTAAACTGTGTTGTACTTGGTGATGTAGTGAGCCTTGTAGCATCCTGAACCCTGGTAATCGTTAGGTGCGAATCCTAGGTACTTGTAGCCGTGACCGTATCCGTGTGCATGCCCGAAGTCCTGATCGTATACCGGACCATAATTATTGATGCCAAGCGAGCCACTGAGGAAGTACCCCTCTAGTGATCCATCGTCGTAGCCTTCTTGACTTTTGAATCCATGTGAATCATGGTGTGGAATGTACCCGTAATCGGCTTCACTGTGGCTAAATCCACCAAAGCTAAATCCACCGTATCCAAAATCGTAATCGCCAAGTCCATGATGGCTTAATGATTTTGCCTTGGCTTGGGCATCTGGTGTGGCTTCGGCTTTTGCATCGGGTAAGGGCTTGGCTGCTGGGTTGGCGTCTGGATTAGCACCAGCTTCCCCGAGGACTTGCTCAGTCAGCGCCCACAGCACGAGGGACAAAACGGACGCCGCTCTCCTAAGTCTGGTCCGCATTTTTTCCGCGGAAACGAACACTGTAGGAAGAGAATAAATTACTTATGATTTTTGTCTTAAGAAAAAAATTTGTTAATTAGCAAAAAAAATTCTTGACATTAATATTGTGCATGGGAAATTTTTTAATTGTTAATTTAATAGCAGTGGTGCCACCCACAATTATACCAATGAAAATGTATTTTGGAGATAAAACTTATGATTATTGAATAAGTCATAGAATCTAGATTTCAGTGAAGATTACTAAGTATAAAAAACTCGGGAACCAATCATAAATTATTTGAAAGTTGCTTGAAAAAAATTATACACTGAGAGCTTTATTTTTTGACATGGAAAATGTTCAGGCTGTATTGCTCGTGCTGAAGAAGTAATAGTTTAAATTCGGAATACACGGCGACAAAAATATTCCATTCTATGGTCAACGGTAACCAATTTATCGTTGATGAATCATTTTTCTAAAGGAAATTTTTCAAATTGGAACTTAGCAGTCGTAAAAGAAGAGAAAACAAGCCTGGGTACGCAACTTGCAATGCTTGTCGTCACCACCTACAATTAGGCAATAAGGAGACAAATTACTGACGTTTTGATTATAATCGTTCAGTCGTCTAGACAATCGAGCACAATCTTGTATTCGTTTTAGTTTAGTCATTTAACGAATAGTCACCCATTCTTCACTCCTATTGAACACTTTCTTTTTCCCAAGGAAAGCAGTGCAAGTCGTGTCACTTTTACTTTGTCTTATGCAAGAAGACATTTCTTGCATTTACAGCTCACTGAATCGCGGAGCTTGATCCATGCCATTATTCCCGGACCGTCGCTCGAATGGGCACCGCGTCCGCGCAGCGAGAGCGCTACTATGCAATTATTTTAACGCATGCAGAGCAGAATCAAGAAGAAAGTTTCACTTCCGCGTTAATTGCAGACTCACCGCAGTTGCATAACTAATTTTCCAAACATTCGTTGACTGAAACTTGAAACCCTAAAATCTAATGGTGTTATTATGCGCATGGACAGTGTATATTACTCTTTACATTTTAACTTTACCTTCATCAAAGATTTTATGTTGAATCATATAAATAATAAATTTTAATCAATTTTATCAAGAAAGTATTACTATACATTTTCATTCACGAGGAATTTCTTTTCCGATGATATTTAATGCAATCGCAACGTTCACTCTCTTTACCTTCCTCCTATTTCGGAATTCCGATTTCAAGAATACGTAACGTATTAAACAGATATGAAGATAAAAGTTCAGGTCGTAAACTAAATTATTTAGTGGCTGAATTCAAATTCCATTCTCAACGCTATGGACACATCATACTAGGCATTAAATGGTGGCCAAAACAATGCCTCTTCCACAAGGGGCTGCGTACCTCACACGCGGTGCTCGCCGTAAGCCCGCCGTCGGAGAAATGAGTTAATCTGATCGCGACCTGAGCCTTTTATACTCGCGTGCGCAACCATAGCTACCGAGGCGAACAAGGGGAACTTGAATTAATTTTATTCACTTTAAGACAATTTTTTCACTCTAAAAACGTTCCATGACCACCTGACTTGAACTAAGGTGAGAATTTTTTTATTAGAAAAAAAATTTTTTCTCTGCATATATACTCGTATTTATGAGCTGAATAATTATGTTTATGAGTTATACATTGAGCTTAGTCTAAGGTTACTAGGGACATCCAGTGTAAGCATATTGTAAATTGTAATACAACAATTATAATATCCTGCGGGCCATCTATTTTTGTTAAAATGACAGAAAATGAATTTGCATGATACCTGGAATAATGCGCTTAAATATTTTTTAAGCGCAAATATTCAAGCGCAAAATATTCTTCTTAAGCGCAAAATATTCAAGTTACACCCGATCGTCTTTACGTAATCATGTAATACAAAATAATCATATTCTTCAAATTAGTCAAAAATATAAAGTATTTACTGTACAAATAGAAACAAATGTTCATGAAAACTGCATGATTAACATGCTGGCAATACGAACGTATCCTAAAAAATGAGATCACGTAATCGAACACTGGAAGCAATAGCAATTAGAAGGGAAGACCAGCCTTGAATAAGGGGAATGCAAGCCATGATGTCATCCCGCAGTGAAGACAAAATGAGAAGGTGTGGCGCTAATAATGTCTATTGCCTTCTGTATTCATCCTCTCTTCGCACATTCATTATCGATGGGAAATAAAATGTGATAAATTATTGCGTAATCTTCGTCGAATTATTTGAAGGATTTTTGCTAGTGATCGTCACGAGCCCAAATTGTTTCGGCATTGATTCCTATGAAGAAAGGCTTTAAAAAAATGCTTTAAACTTACCGCTGTAATTCTTCAATACTTCTAAAGATTTTTGCATTACGGTTGTTATGACTACATTTTTTAGAAGCACTGATTTAATCATTTTCTATTTTGATCAAGACTTTTTGCATTAAGGTTTTTAAAATCCTAAATATGTATTATATATTCGAGCCTGATATCACGTAAATTGCTATAGATTTAGTGAAGTTTTATATCATTATGCAATATCTTTAATTTTTGCTAAATACTAAACATAAATAAACACTGAGAAACCCTGGAATTTTTACGTCAAGACTGCAAGTCGTTGCTGTACAAATGAAGTCATTTAATGGCGTTCACTGTCATCTCGCAAAGCTTTGGACATCATAAAACTAGTATTTTTATGCAGAGTAACGCTTGCTCCTGACCTTTATGCCGCAAATAAAATGTCTACGGAGTTACAGTGCTCAGAATTTCCACTGTAGCTTTGTTGGCTCAGTTGTCTGTGAAGTGAAGAATAGAGACAGGGGTGCCTGAGATTTATTCTGAATCGTTTATAAATGGAAATGATTTTCAGAAAAATGTTTTTTTACATGGCGTGAAAAACGATTTTTTTTCTTACTTGTGACTTGCTGCGTTACTTTCGACAGCTGCTAATGAAATGTGTCCCCATATAATTATTATAATTTTGTACTGAGAGCGAATAGGCAGAGATAAATATTTCAATCCTGTGCTTCTTAACTGTAATATATAAATTGATTCGATGTAATTTCTCGTCAAATTGTGTACACCTCAACAATTATTGTTGTTGGTCAAATGAACCGCTGTTTTTGCCACTTGGTTCACTGTAAATTTTAGCGCCTGCAATAATTAAGACTAAAAGAAATTAAACAATTTAGATTATTTGTAACAAAACTTTATTAATGTAGCAACAAAATGTATAATATTCACAGAAACGAATGTGCGAGGAAATTTTACAAGTGTCTTAAAACGAAAATATTCATTTGCATATAATAGTGTGTTCATTTTAACTACTTCTGATCTGAGTTTCACATGTAAAATAAAATCTCTTGAACATTTAAATTAATTTAGTGTAAAATTGCCGAGCTAAATGTTTGCTTTTGATCGAACAGCTCCTACTATGTTAGCTTCTGCGCATACGCGTGTCTATCTCTTTACTTGTTATTAGAGGAAAAATGTAAGTAAAAAATGAAAATATAAAAGTAAACAAATTATCAGGGGATAAATGTAACTCTCAACTGATCAGGCTACAAGAGACCGTAATAAATATTTATAAAGAAACATTTGTTAAGTGATAGTTACATTTTAAACGTTCAAGTACGCATACGAAATAATTTTTATTATTGCATGATCATTTTCTGTTATATTGATGCATGTGCAAGATAATATGCAGCGATAATTAACGCTAAATGGAACGTTGAACGTTGCTAACAATTAGGTTTAATGACCCAAATAAATTTAATAACAGAAAATATGGCACTTATTGTTGAATAAAATATAACAATAAACAACAAACTTTCACGGAAAATATAGCGGTACGGCAACTCTAAAAGTAAACGATGCATGATGGCATCTGAATTCAATATTTAACGAATGTGACAAGAATAACTCGTTATTAATATTTGAAGAGAAAACAAAATTTGAAGAACCTTAGAAAATAAACTGAAATCACGTGATTTTTAAATATTATTACGCAGAAAACTAATTTGTTAAAATCAGAAATATGACAAATAATACATTCATTTCTTAGATTCATTCTTCTTACATTCATTTAAATGAAAAATAAAGAACAAGCAAATAAAGCAACGATAAATAAAAAAAATGCCTCAGAGCTAAAGTATTTTTGACGAAAAATAGAACAACTGTCATCAGTTAATTAATTATCCACATGTTTGAGCATCGTCAGAAAGAATATACGCCAAAAATTGTTTTCTGATATTTAATGGAACAAATCTGACAGATCTTAAAATAAACTGGCGAAGTACCAAAATTGTATCTTCAAAGCCAAATCCACATGAAATTGTTATTAATAGCGCTTGGAATTTAAGAATTAAGCGTTTTACAAATCTATGTCAATTAGTGATCAAAAATGTACTTATACACCTCAGTTTTTCAACCATGAAAAACAGCAAGAAATTCATAGAAAAAATAATTTCAGACAAATTCGTAGCACAGATTTTTCCTTTTGTCTTTAAAAATTTCTTATAGTATTAATGATATGAATTACCTTCAGTTGGATAAATTTAAAAAAGCTGTGAATGAAAAAAATTAACATTGCTTCACATATCTGATCTTCCGCAATAAAGCTGCTTTAAAAAAAACAGCCTTCATTAATGGAATGATTGTCCTACATCTAAATACTGAATCATGATATTTATTTGGGCGGATAATGTTAATAATAATCAAGAGTACTAAGGCTTCTAAGGCAATGTGCTACACAGGGAGTAGATATTGTACACGACTGGCAGGGGAGCACATTCTTGAAAGTCGGTCTCGGTTTTCAAGAATTTACTGTGGTTTTAGTTTTCAGCCGTTAAGAAAATGTTTTTCTTGACAAGGATTGAGTGCATGTACACGTTAAACGACCTAATGGCGGTAAAAAAACCGTAAAGCTACACAGTTAACGATAAAGTTAAAGTAAAATTGTGAAGTTTCCCAGTAAATATTGAAATTATGTTAGAATTGAATAATTCAAACACATTCATGGATTTGAAACAAAATTAAAATCCTCAGTTTCCAAATGGTTGCTGTTATCGAAAATTCTGAGACGTCATTTATGTACACACACTGGATATATCCATCGCAAACCACAAAATATCTTTGCAGTATGAAAAATGAACGGCGTTGAAAATGGAGTTATTTACAGCTAACAAAATATATGCGGAAGTCTAACGCTTATTCGGTCTGCGCCGCTACAAGTATAACGATGCCACTAACTAACCAGTATAACACTAACAAGAATAGCTCGTACTCCAGTAGTCCTGACAAGATCAACTTTAACCTAAGCGAAGAGCAGCAAATGTGAACATAGAACAAGTCTTGCAAATGATACAAATGATTTAATCGCAGCTTCTCTTGTAAAAGAAAATTCGTGGAAAACCTGTGATTCATTCTGCTTCACAGATTGAATTTTTAAGGAATAACTCAACAAAAAAGATATTATATGCATTGACAGAGCATAGAAATAACAATTTAAATGGAAGTAGAATTCATTAGTAACATTTATCTGCAAATTGATACACAAAAAAAGAACAGAAATAAAAATTGTTTATAAGAGAACTAAGATGTATTAAATCATAACATTAAATTCATAATTCTTGTCGTCACGTCACGATCTTCACAAGTGAACAGTCTGAACTATGTTAAAATGGACGTTCATATTAATTGATAGTTATCGATGGTTATTAAGTTCAGACCGGATGAACGAAGAAAAATGTCAGTATTAATTTAAACATCTATTTTTTCTGTACGAAAAATAATAATTCAACAATAGCCGACTTTTAGTATTTATAATAGCAAATAACAATTGAATTGTAATTATACCTAAAACAAACGCCAATAATTTGGACCGAAAATGGTTGCAAAGTAACAACAGGTGCAAGTTCCTTTACATTTCTCGCAGTTACCCATTAACGCAACGGCCAGGCTGCGTAACGTCAGGTTATCAATCTACGATGGACAAATGTGCCGGCTTAACTTTCAACTTATCACACATAACCTTGTAAACAACGCGGGGTCATTCTTATATTACCTCCTTATAGAGAAATTTAGTATATGATACACTAGAGTATGTTGGAAGGTGATGATCTAATGAGGTGATGCATCATAACCCGCGACCAGTACGGCTACCGCAGTAGCAACTGTCGCGCGTGTTCTCCTCAATCCACGGCAAGAATTTTTCGACGCGAGTGTACACGCCGGGGAAGCCTTGTCTGCCGCAGCCCTCGCCCCATGACACTAGTCCTGAACGGTAGTAAGGCATTAATTTTTTTTGTTAAATATACTAAAAAATTATTCGAAGTTGATAATCAAGAAAAGAATCCTACTAGCAGCACAGCACCAAAATTATATCGTCAAAGCTGTATCGTTCATAACATGAAACTTTTATTAATAGCGTTTTGGTATTAAAATTGAGGTTGTAGGCATTCAAATATATAATATACTGGATTTTTATCAATTGGAACTAATTTTGCTTAATAACATAAAATAGGGTTCAATAATTTTTCCTACTTATTCAATACAGTTTACAAATCAAACGGTAAATGTAAGGATCACTCACCAATGACAGTGACTTTTTTATCCTTGCCTCGTATCATGAGAGGCCCTCCACTGTCTCCCTGAAATGAAAGTTTTCGTTCATTTCTAATTATATTATAGATTGTTACTCATCATTTGGGTTTACAGTTTCTTTTACCAAAAAATCTTCACATTTGAAAACCATTGTCGAGTAATTTTATTTACAGCAGCGTTATAAATTAAGAGTAGATTTAATGAAATTCGTTTAATATAGAGAATATTATTGAAATAAATGAAAGGATAAATCGAAGGAAAGATCTTTTATGGTTGAAAAAAATAATAATAAACAAACAATAACAGAGCAAAAATTACATTAAAAAATCTTGATGCGTGTCTAAAAAACGAATCAATGAAAATTTCCTGAATCATCCATGGAAATTATAATATTGGTTAAAATTATATTTTCCATCGACTTCTCTCATTATTAGGCCTAACATTACACCTTAATAAACAATCTACGCACTTAGCCATCGGGACGAATGCCAGGGCCACCCAAAATTTGGCCCGACTGATATTAATATAAATGACTATAATTTAAATTTATCGGGCAATATTTTGAGGGAAAACATCCCCAATATAGGCGTTTACTCTCAAGTATTACTTGAAAATGTAAATTTATAGGATCAGTGAATTTTAAAATTTTGAAAACGTTTCACAAATGGAAGTATCTTCAGAACCCTTGATTTTCACCGAAAGAGGTTTCATGTTATTAACTAGTGTCGTGTCGAAGATGTTCACATGACTTCATTATCAATAGTGTAAATCTCTCATATTTTCAGAATGATTTTGTAGATGTAGAGAACGTTTAGGAAATGTAATAAGTCTCTTCAGAAACTCCAACTTTCAAAGAAATACATCCTGTGTAATTAGTTAATGCCGTGTTGGAGATGTTCACATGGCAGGATTGGTAATAGTGAAAATCTCTCGAATTTTCAAAATGAATTTTTAAATGCTGACAACGCTTGGGAAATGTAATTAGCCTCTTCCGAAACTTAATTTTTTCACAGAAATATATTCCTCGTGACAAGCGATGCGTCTATGACGCTCACATGAGCGAAGGCGATCACATGAGCATTTCCACAGAGGCGGCGATCCATCGTGGCCTGGGTCTGCTATGTCCCAAACAAGTACCAAGATTACATGGCAAGAATCGTTATAGTTAAAACCAATCGAACTTACAGATGAATTTTGAAATGTCGACAACTATTCGGAAATACAATAAGTCTCTTCAGAAACTCTAAAATTGACAGAAATATCTGCCGTGTAGGTGATGTTCAAATGACAGGAATCGTAATAGTTAAAACTTATCTAACTTACAGATGAATTTTGAAACGTCGACAACTTTTCGGAAATATAATAAGCCTCTTCGGAAACTCTAACTTCGACAGAAATATCTGCTGTGTCGGTGATGCTCACATGACAGGAATCGTAATAGTTAAATCTTATCGAACTTTAAGAATGAATTCTGAAATGTCGACAACTTTTCGGAAATATAATAAGCCTCTTCAGAAACTCTAACTTTAACAGGAATATCTGCCGCGTCGGTGATACTCACATGACAGGAGTCGGTGCCGCCCTTGGTGAAGCCTGCACACATCATGTTGTCGGAGATCTCGTGGTCGCTGTAGCGCAGCTGCCGGCATCCTGCGTTAGAAAATATCGGTACGAGGATCTCCTTCAGCAGATCTGACGGCTCCCCCTTCTCGGTCGTCCGTCCCCAGCCAGCGACCAGTCCCAACTGGCCCACGTAATCGCGTTCTATTGACAAATTAGTCCGTTAGTTCATCATTCATATTAGAAGTGAAATAAATTTTGTTTGCTGGGAGTGCATCTTTCGGATATTATACTTCTGATGATCACTTATAGTAATCAAAATCACTTTAACTATTGCAAGGTTCTCAATACGACGACTTTCTTTTCAAAGTTATTGCTTCGATTCCGCGCTGATTTACCAGCTTGACTCGCTCATTTCATTAAAAATCAAAATTTCCAAAAGGAGCAAGTTCGTATTTAGATGCGTTCAATATTAAAACAGTGAATTTAACCATAATAACTTACTTGGTAGAGGTAGACAAGCCGGCCTTGCATACCACTTGTAAGGAACTTTGTCCGATAACTTGACTAAGGCAATGTCGCTCTCGAAGTTGCTGTGGTTGAAGTTAGGATGCACAACGTAGTGCACCGCTTGGTAGGCTTTACTGCGGGTCTCGATGGGGAAGCTGCGCATGTGTTCGCCCACCATCACTTTTAGGCTCTTCACGTTGACTCTGCAAGACAGAAATAACTTATGGACTGAAGGGTGGCAAAGAAACACGTTGACTCTGCCAGACAGATATAAGTTATGGACTGAAGTGTGGTGAACACGTTGACTCTGCAAGACAGATATAAGTTTTGGACTGAAGGGTGGTGAAGAAACATGTTGACTCTGCCCGACAGATATAAGTTATGGACTGAAGTGTGGTGAAGGAACACGTTGACTCTGCAAGACAGATAAAAGTTAGGGACTGAAGTGTGGTGGAGAAACACGTTGACTCTGCCAGACAGATATAAGTTATGGACTGAAGTGTGGTAAAGGAACACGATGATTCTGCCAGACAGATAAAAATTATGGACTGAAGCGTGGTGAAGAATCACGTTGACTCTGCCAGACAGTAATAAGTTATGGACTGAAGCGTGGTGAAGAAACACGTTGACTCTGCCAGACAGTAATAAGTTATGGACTGAAATGTGGTGAAGAAACACGTTGACTCTGCCAGATAGATATAAGTTATGGACTGAAGTGTGGTGAAGAAACGCGTTGACTCTGCAAGACAGATAGAAATTCAGGCCATATGTATGTGCTGTGAAGAATTTAGTTTACTCTGCCAGAAAGGCATATATTTAGGACTGATGTGCAAGGAAAAGAAGTGTTGATTCTACCAAACAGTTTGAAGGTCAAAAATAGATTGAAGTGGACTTTGAATCTCCCAGAAAAGAAACACTGCCAGACGGATTAAACTTCTGGAATAATGAGGTGATGAGAAAGATTGACTATCAAAAAATTTAACTTTATTGCTATCGTGTGGTGAAGAAATTCATTGAATCTACCAGGCAATTTGTAATTTTAGATTAATCTGTGCAAAAGAGATACAGTAATTCACGGAAAGTAGAACATCGCGTGTATTGTATGGAGTGGAAACGAGATACCTTCACAAGATAATTCTTATCTCCGTTATATTCCACGGTAAGTTGGCAAGGTAACTGTGCGACGGTAGATAACTATTCAGGGAAATTGTTAGCAGTAGAGTTCACTCAGCTCTGGTAACACATAAATTCCACGAATGTATTGTTGTATAATATACAAATGTATCGTATAAAAATACTGCCACTTAGTATTTCGCATTTTTCAAAGATTAAATTCAGGCGAGACGGTACGGACGGTAAAGTTGTCAAACTTCGTGCATTGCGAGGAAGGAAAGATCAATAAGAGCTTTAGGTTAGTGATGATAATATAAATTTAAAATTAAAATTAGAACGTGTACCTGTTTAGAAGAAAATCCTTCTTACCCTAGTTTCTATCGCTAATTAATCTATGAAATATAATTTAAATTTTTTGTACACTGGAAGTTAGAAAACTTTTCGAGTCTGTCTGAAACAGAAGCTGTCCATGTTCATGTGATACTAAAGCGTGAATACATATCACATATTTTAAATAACTCATTTTTACGTAATTGAAATTTTCTAACTACATTCAAAGGGAAGTTTCGCTCTTCACACTGGTTTCTACGGAAAACAGGGTAATTCTCACTCTCCAGAAAGCCTTCATTAATTTACAAGACATCTGGACGACTGACCACCGAGGAGTTATTGACTGCCACAAACTCACGAAGGCCTCCGTTAAAAATTACTGTTTGTTCAGCAGCGGAAACTGGTGATTATGTACAACGGTCATTGTGACAACAGGCACGGGGAGGTGCAACTGCGGGACGTTGACTGAGTCAAACACGCACTCTCTGAGCATTAGTCTGAAGTGTAATTGAATTTATTTTCACCAAACACGGAATAATGCAGGAAATTGATTGCTATTTCGAGCGTAGTAATGATTCAAATCATTTGTTTTTATGAACAAATTGATTACGGATTTATTATGAGCAATTCCCGGACATCTGCTGCGAATGGAAAGCTGTTTCGCGCACAATAATGATTCAAAACATCTTTCATTTATCAACAAATGGATTATTAATGCACACATCAGCCAGCACAATACACATCACTGTAGAGACCTGCTGAAGAGTTCGATGATCTTTGCTCGGTCGTGAGAATCAGTTCAACTTCGCGACTCAGCAATGGCAAAGGATGCGCGCAATGAGAAGTGAGAAGTATTTGCACTTAATCGTTCAAGCTGGCTCATTATTACTCTTTTTAATAATTGTCTTCCACCCTGCATTGGCAGTTATTTTAGCGGTTCAAGGATGAGCGAAAATACTGATAGATATTTTTCGACAAGACAATTGGTAAATTCGGTAACAAGGCTATAGCCTTCCACTAATTTCAGTCATAAAGACTCCAATTATTGCTGAAGTTAATTAGGATTAGTTTATTGCATCCTTAACTGTTCAATTTCATTTATTGAAGCTCGTCAAATACCTTTGTTTCGTATGCTTTGATACATGTTTTTTTTGCAATAGCGCAGACAATTTAAATGTGTCGTGAGATTTACAATAAGCAAATGCAATAAAAGAGCATAAATGAAAATTTTCGCAAAGTGTTTAAAAGTTACTCTGTATTTGTTTTAGCTTTCAAATTACAGCACAACTACTATTTAGAACGGGAAAATGTGTTGAAAGAACCATTGCTGTTGCATTTTTTGTCTTGCTCGGATCAGAATTGGTACCTCAATCAATTAAAGAATAATTTATTGAGCTATTAACAAGGAGAAATTTTTTATTCTTCATGATGAAGCTGTACGAATTGGTTGATTGTTGATTATGCTTCGCGATTGATACCTGATTGTCAATGACATGAATATTGGCTTAGTTTGTGATGGAGCGACGTTAGAAATTTAACAACTGACTATCTCCAACGTCTTGTGTCGAGACGCTCTGCCGTTCTTACGGTCGTGACGCGTTAGCGTTACTCTACGTCCTGTTTCTCCTTTCACGTTTTCACCATAACGTCGTCGTAACGTCTTTCAGGCTAGACTTTTGATGTCGATGTTCCCTTTCATTTATGTTGTCAATCAACTTTATAATACTGAATATAATTAGAAGATTTAAGGCCTAAGCTTGCTTGTACCGTTCTACTTCCGACGAAGTTTCACCAAAGCCATAGCAACAGCTTTGATTTTAACTAGAATTAAAATGATTGTTGATGCAACAAACTTATTGATTGTTAAATTTCGAGTGAAAATACATTGTTTTCAAGCTTTCAAGTGCATAAAAAGTTGATTTGAAAGTATTTGTAGCTATAGTGATCGCTCACCCTTATAATACAGAGTGACTGTTGCATGAATGACTGCAAGTACAGTCCCGTGGATATCGGTTACCTGTTATTCATGGTCACAAACTGTCACTCACTTCATAAACGCAGAGTTTGGCAGTGAGCACTCACCCTCTGACGCAGTGTCCAGCAGTGAGCACTCACCCTCTGACGCAGTGTCCTGCAGTGAGCACTCACCCTCTGACGCAGTGTCCTGCAGTGAGCACTCACCCTCTGACGCAGTGCCCTGCAGTGAGCACATATCTGTCACTAATGAGAGTGCCACCACAGTAGTAGTGGCCTTTAAGCAGCAGTGCCACCACCCACGGGTACTCGTTGAACTCAGCGTACTCTCCGCCCACCAGCCTCTCCCGGCGACGGTTCATCAGGCCACAAGCTGCAACAAACGCAGTCATTTAATCAACGCAATTCGATGACTATAAATTTATTCATGATGGAATGGGAAATAGGGTACTGATATATAATAAAAATGAGTATATACGAATGGGAAAAACTGTGTGAACAATGAATAGCTGCTGCTAAATTCGACGTATAAAACAATGGGAGCAAAATCGGAAAGACCTTAAAACGAAATTTTGCTTGAATTCTGATCATGCTAAACTCAAAGGTTCCCAGGTACAAGAAACGCAGATCAGTCAATATGAAATCATCTCAAAAGTCAAAATGTTGCCTACCAATAAAAGACTAATAATGAATAGAAATTTATTGATAGTTGTCGCAGAAAATTTTCTATGCCTCACTGTATCCTGAAAATAGTTACAAATTTAGCCGCATTGCAGGAAATTATTTTCTGACAAAGAATACAGTTTTTAATAAAGGAAGTGTTTTTGAGCACAAGCAAATGCTGCGTAGGTGCATTCTTCAAGAATGTTACATCATGAACATCAGTGCGCACAGCTAATAACTGAATTATTGTGCTCGAATATGAAGACGCTGAGCGTTTTTCATTCGTCGTTTTTCGTCCGTGCCCAAAATTATCGTCGGACAGGCCCAAATAATGCCTCGTATGCAATATAAGAAAAATAAATCTGTGCTGTAGAAACTCTCAAGTGTGAGCTATCAAGCGCTTATGTCCCAGTGACCAATTAATGCCAAGTCTCAAATTATATAATGGAACGCCAGTCCCGTGGCATTGCGATCGAGTCGAACGCGCCGAGCGGCCTTCCGATAAGAAGGCCAATGGTGCGCTTTGGATAAATTGTTATAATTGTTTGATAAAAGGTTTGATAAATAAAGGTTTTTTTATTGGTGGGATGTGAAAGTAATTCTAAGTCAGACTTTTGCTTGGCATTTGCGTCATGAAAGAACGGTTAAGATTCACCATAATCATAACTCACGTCTGGCTTTTTTTTATCATGGACTGGACGTTGGCTTTTCTTGTTCTACCGTCAAAAATTTTCATCATAATTACCCGTAAAATTTGTACACATTTATAATAAAAGTTTTCAAAAAGATACGCCACTTTAAAACTCCGGATCACTGCTACACGTTCAAGTAGAATATTCACCCAAAATAATTCATCAACTGAACACTTTTACTTTCGTCTGATGCGAAAATTTGAGGAAAGAAAAAGTGTAGACTACCTACACTTTTACTCTCAACGTTCGAGAACTCTAAAAACAGGATTTCGTTGAAAGTAAACTTGTTTGAATCAAAATAAAGATGGACTGCGAACCGAAAGTTGCTTTCCCGGCGAACTGACCTCAGGTTTCCTTGGCACGCAAGACCTTTCATCCATAAATTTTGATGAGCATCGCGAGCGCATAGTAATGTCTAGTGTAAATCTCGAGTTATCCTAGGTTATCCCATCATAAAGGCGAGAGCCTTTTCAAAATTGTGCACAAAGGTGCAATTTGCATTCTCAGACTCTGATGGGCGAAAGTAAATGTTCTTTCTCGTGTCTCGTTAATTTTTTAATTGCTTAACACAACGTTTGTCTTTTCTGCTTCAAGGCTCTGAAATATGGTTAACGCCACTATTCTGAAAACGCACCTAATCCGTTAAACCCTAACTAAAAACAGTAAATCAGATAACCAGGAATTAAATTTTAAAAATATATCAAGCACGTCCTTAAGAAACCCGAGAAAACTCAATTCTGATACATGTACTAATTGGAGCAAGCAGGCCTGATATTCTGTAAACGCCTAAGTTGAAAACAGTCCCATACCACGTCCCATTTAAGTTTTGGGATCGAGTATTCGATCACATCTATCTCGCGGTGCGAGTATCAAATTTTCGTTATATAACAATATATATATATATAAGCCTTTCACCACCTTTCTCTACAACATTGAAAGCCGAGTTAGCCTGGGTCAGGAAGGTTTGGAAGGTATCCGGTCAAATACTTGCTGGCGAAAGTGTTATCTTCTTCAGTTTCCGGTGGCAGAGGCGGAGGATGAATAGATGAGTAAGGCAGCTGATTTGAAGTATTTATTGTAGCCCAAGACTTAAAAGACATGCCTAATTTACAACACGTGAAAGTGAAAGGCGGGATGTCCTTCTCCAGTAGATTATTAGTATGGATAGACATTTAATGATGTTTGATTAGAATAATGTGATTGAAGATAGCAGCATTTTTTAGCTCCCATTTTTCTTTGACAAACTGGTAACGTAAAAGAATTTTTGTTTTGAGCCAAATTCTGCGGATGGCAATGCAGCGTAATCTCATGAGCCGTTTGGATCAACAATGTTTTTAATGAAGAAATACGGTGCGATGTGCAGTAAACTCCTTTTATGGTTTTGTCTGTTTCTGTGAAAATGGAAACAGACACAGAAACAGGAAGACGCCAATCGGAATTAGATATAGTGGATGGCCACGTTCATACAGCAGGCCGAAGAGACTTTCATGACACACAACTATCAATACAGGCCTCTAAACGAATAGTGGATGTAAGCGTCTTTCCCGAACTTTTTACGTTCGGGATGCAAGTAGAATAAATTTCACTTAACACGTCAGAGATAATGCTTCATAAATCCACAGACAAACGACCATGTACATTAATTAACCTTCGGCCTAATGTTAACTTCGACGCGTCCGAAAGATTATAGCCGTCCTTCGTTCGCCGGCAAAATGTTCTAGACACGTCCTGCTATGGGTCTGAGGAAAGCTCATATAAGACCAGGCTTTGTGCTATGGTCGTTGCCGACCACGTCTTCCTGCCTACAAGGACCAGCTCGAGCGTGGCTGGAATATACGATACAACTTCGGGTCTGTACTTTCCTGTTGAAGGAGAAAGCTAGGGAAGAATTAGACTTGAGTCGAACGGTATTCTTACTGATAATTTCGACGGTCATTCCAGGCACATGACTCACTGTAATCCAGTGTGAATCTGAACTACGAAATGCTGTCTGATGCTTAGACCTCGTGACGAATTTGGTGTCCTTTAATTGTTCTGTAAGGTCACTGGCTTTCAGAATTTTACTCTTTCCCTATGACTATGTCGACACATTCTAAAATACTCCATTAATTCGGACGTCAAAATAAAATCAATCTGATCGTTTTCCATAATTCTAATGCAATATTGTTTAAAGTCGCAGCAAAAAAAAATACAAAATGCTAAACAACAGAGAAAGCATCTAAGCCTGACCTCGCATCGGCACCTGTTGCCATAAAATAGCTCGTCTCTATTCACAAAATTAGCGACCAAAAGAAATGAGTTCTTAGGCGGCAGGTCGCTGAGCGATGGCCGAGCGTGGCCAGAGTTACGACGACAACCTCCCTCTAGAAAGGCAGGTTCGTGGGCAACACAAGCCCTTAATATCATCACGAGATTTCTCGAAATAGATGGGCACCTCGATAAACTTTGAACAGCTAAAATGATGGCCGATGGAATGCGTTACTTAACAAAGAGTGAAAGCTGCTTGCAAAACTACGAAGTGAAGAACGAACTCATTGAAATGCAGAGGATAAGTTAGAGGCCGGGGCTGGCTTGTGAAATGACGCAAAATGAAAGTTAGGTCCGGACTTTAGAAGATAATTTTCATTACAGAAAGTCCCGAATTGCGTAATTGTTATTTATTCATGAAAAGTCTTTAGAAGAACTACTAAATTCACATGGATAATAATCTTAATGTTTCTTGAGCTTTTCAGAATTACCTGACCCTTTCCATCCTCAAGCCTCAGATGATATTATTAGTATTAGGCATCTTCCTTCGAATACGGTAACGCCCTGAAAATCTTGCAAAATTTCGAGTTTAACAACTAATTTTTTTATCGAAGAAATATTGCAATTACATGCATGATAACTGCATGGGTCCCACACTCACCATTCCAACAAAAAGGGAATTAATTTTATTAATTAAAAACAGGGAATGGTTTCATGTCAATGATCAGGAAATCAGGATGCACGAATCAACTCTAAACTTGCAGACTTCATAACAACTTTTGATCCCAATGTTGCGTCTTGACGATTGAATGTCATCAATGACGAACCCAAATCCACGGTATAAAGACTGCCCATTGCCGGATGCGTTACTATAGCCATCACAAGAACGCAATTTCTCGAGAGATGATTTTTGACACAAAATTAATGTTGTAAGCGCTTCGAGAGCACGACTAGAACGCACGAATTCTTGGTCTGATTGTTGTGAGCTCTACAACATTTTTCAAGTTAATTAATGTAATCGGACATACTTCAGCTATGAATGAGGCACATGAAACTATTTTACACGAGTAAACTCATGTTCTTACAACAAATTTTAGTAAAAGACTTATCTTTTTTTATAACATGTTTGGTATTTTGAGTGCAAGCCGGCCCAAGATATTCCTTCTAAGGAGAAAGTTTGTCATTTCCCAGACCCCAGGTTTTTGAAGCTGATTAGGAGCACTTGAAAGTGTGAAGGAGTTACCCATTAAGCTAGGCATGCACATCACAAACAATGGGACGTATCGGTCCTTGTTTGTCACGGGACAGAGGAGAAAACGCGAGTCGCTTCGCTCACACTTTAGAAGGACAAAGACCATGTTAGGCGATTTACTGTCACATTTGTGGTGCATTTGACCATGACTGTGATGTGCGTGCCTACATGCTGATGCAGGGATCATTCAGTAACATTTGCATTGCACGGGCAAAAAATAATCGGACGATCTAAACCTTACCGGGACAAGTTATAGGTGCCCTAACGCAAGATCTTGTCCGACACGTAATTGAAAGTTTTCTGGGCCTCCGGTCGCCTTACACGAGCATCAATCTGATAAAAAATTAAGTGGACATGTAATAGGATCCTGAACAGTGAACATGTTAACGTCAGGCGGTGTCCGTTCTCAGATTTAGAGTCATTACGGTAGTTGAAATGGGAAAGGCATACTGTGTTGAACCTGCTAATAAACATGCCAGGTCCATGCAGCAATCCACCAGCCATTGCGGTCATCAATAATAGAAATAATTAAGAGTAACAGGGCATGTTGGGTTCATACTTCCATCATTATGTGTACAGATCCTATTTTTCATTCGGTCAATTAAGCATTATGGTAATACAATTAAGGCTGACTTTAATTGACATAATCAATTTGAGTCGAAGATTTGGTATTAATTATGACGAGAGCAAACGGTTCGCGATGCAATGAATACAACAAAAAATTGACTAATAATATATGCCGAAGGGTTAGGTAAGACGTCTAAGTATTTTTGTGTTTATGTGTGAGTACAAACTGAATAAGATACCAAGATCAAAATATTCCTACCGACAATTCTAAATTCAAATACGAACTCTGGTTTCTTGTCGTGCATGCAACACGCGTAAATTTGCTTGCCAGCCTTCACTTTCACTGACCACTTATTGGCAAAACGATGCCTGCTGGAACTTTGTGATCGTTGCCTCGGTAGAATTATGTTTTTTTCACTTAAATGCTAAGTACGGAAGAAAAAGATACAAAAAATATAACTCAGTACTCGATCACTGCAGTGAGTGACAGAGAGCGCATTTTCTCGTCGACGAAAACATGAAGTCACGGACGAACAGACGGACGGACAGACGGACATGGCGTCATACTGAAGCTAAATTGTCGTAAATTTCGTTTTATGGAACATGAAACTGGAACAAAAAGGAGTCAGAGAAATTCTATTTTCATCGAAATAATTTGAAAATTCTCTTTGTAAAAATCTCGCGAAGTAAGTCTATACACCCATCGTCTCCAACGCGTATAAATAATTTTCCACAGAATTCCCAAATCAACGATGTGAAAATGAATTAACGATGTGAATGAATTAAATTGAATTCAACGATGTTCTAATGAGTTAAATAACCAGATAGTAACTAATTTATTGGATGGTTCAGTTCGTATGTGCGTAAATGATGTGTACATTGATACCCAATTAGGGCTCGGTGTTTCTTGCTCCTTAAGCGGGCTTTTTGGCCAACAATCAATCATATCAAAAAATATAAAAATGATTCCATAATTTTCATGCGGTCAATCAGTTTCGAGCAACCTCTATAACAGCATTCTCGTGTGGCGTAACAAGTTCGGTCACTTATATGGATTCAAAAATTAATTTTATCTTTAAATCATGAAGGCTCGGCTTAACCCCAAGCATTTTTAGCTAGGGAATCGATCGCGATTTGCTTTCACTTTCAGTTTCACTGACTGTAATGATAGAGAAAGCAACAAGTCTTCTTCATATGAGAGCATCTAGAAAAGAAACTAATCTTTTAAATAGAAGAGAGGGAACTTGGTTCTCATAAAAACCTTCACTAATCGAACATCGCCATAACATGAATCTGAAGAGTCTTCAAGATCTACAACAGATCAAACCAATTTGCGTGGCATGTAAAGATCGGTTCAGAGATTGGCTAGAGTTTTCAGACTGTCATAGAATACTACATAAATTCTACCAAAGAAACAAATGATGTTTAGGAAAGGGCCCCAACCCCTTGAATCTACGTATCATATCAGCATTATATTAATATCTAATTAGGTGCCATAGGTTACTGTATCCAGCCATCTAAGTAAATAGACTTTAAATCACTTTCGATTTTCTCTGCAGACAAGCACGCACGAAGAAGAAATCGCATACATCAGCAGGGGAGGGCCCAGTAAATAAATGTGTCCGTGCTACCTCCTGTAAAGCTGACCTCAGTGATCATATCGTTACAGATGTTAAGTTGTCTCTCGGTAATCCAACAACGATCCTATTAATGTGTCTCGAACTAACGTAAAACTCAAATATCTAAAATTTGAAGGGTAGTTTGAATTAAAAGTTAAAGAATTTTATATATTTCATTAAAAAAGGGAAGTAATTTGGTTGGTCAAATTAACTCTTCGCAGCCAAACTTATTAGGTCAGCATGCATTATTAAATAAGTATACAATGGACGATGCGGTCCCTTAGATAGTTAAGTGGTAGGTGACAGTGAAATTTCGAAGCAGTTGCTCGAGAAAATCATACAGTAATTTGTTGAAGGAAAACATTGGTAATCGTAGAAAAACGACAGACGACAGCTTGGGCGGTTCAATGAAAGGAAGCCGCAGAATTTCACACTTTCGTTGTGAAAGAAAACCCGGGACGAAGTTGTTTTCGGGTTGCGACAGTTGCAGCACGACTCGTGTCGTAAAGGTACAAGCTTTCTCCAACGTAAGAGCATGCAATTACTTTCAAGTAAAGATGAGTGAGCGGTACACACTGTCCTAACTGAAAATCTCATTGCTGTTTATATTACATAACCTTTATTGAAAGTTGGCGGGAGAGGGATTATCTCGACAGCAGATAGACAGCAATAAAGGCTGAGGTAAAAATATAAGGATCGCTTGAGAACCGGTTTCTTGAAGCTTATAATATTCTTTAACCATATGTCTGCCCAAAGAAATTACTCGACTCGCCGAATTAGTCATAAGACTAATTTATAACGAGACACTGATCATAAATAGCAAGAATTTCTGCTGGCACATTCAACTGACTGAACTTACGGCTTAGTTAACAGCGGAACTGTGAAGCTATTAGCGCAAGTATTTAAAATGAACTGCAGCAGACTCGGCAAAATGAGGGACATATTTAATTATAATTTGCAGCGACTTGATGTTGAAACCTGCTGGATTCTTTGGCCATGTGTTAGTCCTGCTCTCTACACATTCCTGAGCTGGAGGCTCTGTCCTCTGGTATGCCTGCTCGACGGAAAGGATTATGCAGCCTGTTTAATCTAAAAGGTTACAAGCATTAAACAGCAAACTAAACAGTAATAAAATTATTTTAATGAATACAAATCCATTCAGTAGTAACACTCGCACCGGTACATTTCAAGAACAGCCGCACAATGAGATATTTATTAATTATTCATCGTAGCATCGTTAAAATGTTACGTCTACAAATTGTACTCACAGCAAGCGCATCGCTTGGCTCCCTCAAGCCTGTGCCTGCCTGGTAAACGGTCGAACCTCATCGCACCCTGAGGAAAAGCAATGAACTCATTTACATACTGAAAAACCTTCACTTTCAAAATATTTTTCAGTTATACTCATTTCAAAATAATTTTTGTAATGGAAAGCCATATTTGTAGAGATAATTTCTCTCGTATTTAAATGACAGGCTCATCGATTTTAATCTAACGGGGATAACGAGTGCAAAATAGATAAATGATTTATCTTGCAAACTATATTAATGTGTTCACCTTATTTTCAAACATTCCAAAAATCAGTTGTAAGAAATACGTTTAAAATTAGCTACTCACGTGAACAAAATTTCCTAGTACTACCGCCGTGATCACCAAGAAGTACTTGGAGATCATTTTCGATACAAATTAATTTCGAAGTTTATGGCCAAGGTATGACAAGAAGGTATTCTTTTTCCGCGAGCGCGTCATTTTGTGAGCGTGAAATTAACAGCTCGAAGCTCTCTGCACCTCCTTATTGTATCTCTCAGGTGACAACATTTCTTCAAGTGGCATTTTATTACAAGCAAAGCAAATGTAATCATTCAGAACAGAAACGTTTTTTAAAAATTAATTACAGCACAGGCCAAAAGTCCACGAGGAGCGAAGAAAATACGACAATTGGAAATTATTTTTTCGAGCGGTGTGAGCGAAGATTTTCGAATCGTGAAGATTCTGGCCGAGCTAAATATAGCAGAAAACTTAATTTCCAGGATTTATTCCGATAAGATCAATATATTTTATAGTCTTATCTCTTTGTTTCAAATGACATCAGTAAATTGGCTTGCGCCAGCACTAGGCAGTGTCACAAAATTTGTATACCCTGCCGGATAGAATGAGAGTTCTTGAGTAACGTTCCTTTTATATTATCACATAACCAAGCATGGCTTATTCTGGATTCAACACATTAAACCTATATAAAATTGGCTTTGAATATAAATGTATAAATATATAGGAGTAATTTTACCAAGCGAAAATTTTTCGATGCAAATCCCAAAACTTGGGCACGGCTCAATGAACGGTACGGGTATAACAGAACTAATATTGTACGTGGTATGCCCCTTGAGATCAGAAGGAACTTTTTTATTTGTAATTAAAAGCGATTTGGTTGAGTGTTCTAATTTTAATCATTCATATTTAATTAAGCTTAAAGAAGTAATTTTAATTACTAATGGAGGTCATCGTTATATTAGACATCAGCTCAGACTATTAATTTAAAATTGACTAAAAGGAAATTATTGTATTCATCACCGATGTAACTTAGTGAGATATTTACCTCTTTGAATGAATTTAAAGCGAATATTTTCGAAAAACCCACATAATAAAAGAAGAGATTTCCGTATTGGCCGAATTCGTCACTATAAAAGAGACGGTGTTCAATATCACTTCAGAGGGGCAAGTTAAAATTGATTGTTTGTACTCATTACCATCAGTTGAATATCATATAATGAATGACTTTACTTAATACGTTGCCGTTAAATAGGACTTATAGCGCTGGTTCAGAGGTGTCACTGCGGGAAGGATCTAGAGGTGACATGCAAGTAGGTTAACCGTCCGCTGTCGCCTACGATATTGGGCCACTAGCGCTACGGTTCACGGAGGTGGACCCTACACAATTGTACCTTCTATAATATTTCGGTAAACTTTGTCGACGATTCGTGACATTAGTCATTCACATTTATTTTTTTCAATATTTTAAGAAAATATCTCATATGTTAACCCTAAAGTGGTCATGTTGATTACATATGTAATCCATGCGTACGGAAATTAACCGAAACCAAACCGACCGAAAAAGAGACCAATCTGGTCAGTTTTTACACGCGATCTTTGCAGGGTTAACTTTTGCATTGTTGAGATTATTTAGTATACCGGATTCCATTGACTAACGTCTTTGTTTCAAATTTGCGCATCAAACATTGGTGGACCAAGAATAATTTCTAGAAAGTCCCGGTCTCACTTTATTTCTTCAATCACCAAATCATTCATGGAATTAGCGTGCCATGAATTCATATTCAAATTAGAGTCATAAATACTCATGAGTCCCTCTTAAGTGCGCCATCATAACTATTTATCAAGTTATCAAGTAAAGATTTATGAACTCAAATTGGTCCTTGGTATGGCGGATGTAAATATTATCGTGGTATGCAAATAGTGAGAACTTGCGAGGTCGATGACCGTGTCAGGACTCGGTATTTATTCCATTTAATGATTGTTTATTGTTTCATATCAATCATATGTATAATTCACATAAAGCAAGAAGATTCTATAATATAACAAAACGCTGGATATATTTCCAGCGATACCAGGCTAAGCTAGATAAGTGCAAATATTAAAAACCGAAATAAGAAAACAGCTCGTTAGCACTTCTAAATCGTGAATCTAAACCTTGACAAACATAAATGCGATAATAAGTGTAGCCTCGTTTCTCTGGCAATCCATTGTAAATTTCGCTCACTTCTTTCATAAAACTCATCCATCCTGTTGAGTAGAGATACGAAGAACTGAAATCATCGTTAAACTAACGATCATTTGGAAAGTTCAGTCTCAGGAATCGTAGCGTGCAATTTATTTTTTACGCGTATATATTTGCTTTTACATACGAATTAAAAATATTAGCAGGAATCCACATGTGTCTCCTACCTTAGACTCCAAGTCTGGCCTATAAGAATACATCATAAAAAATCAAACATATGTTCAACAATTATAACGATAATTTCGCAACGTTCGATAAGAAATCATACTTTCAATTGAGGCTACGATCAGAGTCTACAACCACAAAGCACGAACAACTGTCATAACTCAGAACCAACGACGTCCCATATACGCAAGAGTTCAAGCGTCATGACTGGAGCATGGTTCGTGCGCACTCCTTATCCACCGGCGTCTCGACGCAGACTGACCCAGTGTAATAAGCGTCCGTTTAAATTCACGCTAACGCGGACCATTAGCTACGCGACCTCGACTCAAGCCAGGGAGCCTGCCTTGTAACCACATTAAATGCGCGATAGAAAGTTGTAAGAAAGTGAGCGTAGGATTAACGACCACCATTTACAATTGTATTACCAAGCGATTCCTGTAGGCTTATTGAAAAGAGAGTTTCGTAGTAGGATAGAGGTTTCGTTTAGACTGTGACGAATTTGGTAGATTTGATTCTACCTCAACTTTCTAAATTGATGAATTAATGGAAAAGGGACTTTCTCATGCACCATGAACCGACAAATCTACCGCTTGATAACAAGTTAATTTCTTATCGTGCTTACCATTGATGTTGTTTTCTCTTTTTCAATGCTCTTCGTTAAATTTATTTTCTAATCGAAATAGTAATTAAAATCATGTTATCTCAATACCACCAGCGATTACCTACAACAAATTCATCCCTGCAACGCTTCCAAAGTAATTCCTGTGTGCAAGCTATTCAATTTGCACTTTCCATTCTCAAAGCCGCTATCGATAATAGAATTAACGAGTGATCAACTCACATCATTTCAAATCCTAATAATTTATTCATGGTTTTAATAAGGCTGAAAAATATGCGTAATTTTAGCTCTCCCCCATTATAGAATCACACACCCAACAGTCGTTTAGGCAGTCCAATATCTGTTGCTTTCTCAAATCAAATTAAATTCTAAAAACTAATTTATTATATAATTCATTTTTTGCTTTCAAAAATAATTTTTACTCTCATCTACGTCTTCCATATAATCGTTCGTTTCATCACATGTGAGAGCCTGGGTCTTGTTTTCTCTCACTCATAAGAGTGGGTGCATTATATAGACGAGGTACGGTAGAGAGACAATATTTGCACATCTGAGTTGGTAAAGATAAAACTTTTAGCATAAATGAGTGTACACTTAGCAAGATTATTTGCGAGACAAATTATCGATATATTTGCTTCCGTAATTATGATGCAATTGTGATAAACATCCTCTGGCAGCTCATCATTATCATCACCTGGCAGCTCATCATTATCATCACCAGGCAGCTCATCATTATCATCACCAGGCAGCTCATCATTATCATCACCAGGCAGCTCATCATTATCATCACCAGGCAGCTCATCATTATCATCACCAGGCAGCTCATCATTATCATCTGACAGCTCATCATTATCATCACCAGGCAGCTCATCATTATTATATTGAGTGTTCGTTGTTGTGAATAACATCATTTCGTCGACATTGACACATTTTGCCTTTTACACAAAAAATATCATTTTGACACCACCTGATTTGTATCTGCATAAAACCGGACTAAAAATCTTTATTTACCGCAGGCCGGTATTTTAACGCGATCGACATAATGTACCAAAGTTCCTAAGTGCGCACCACGCAACGTAGCTTGATTTATAATGCATGTATAGGAGCACCAGAGCAATCATATAGAAGCACTCCACATTATTAATGCTCTTAAGTCGAGGCAGGTACTCGTAGCATTCATCGATCTTTCACGCACCAATTCCTTTCTGCCAGGCTCATTCATAATTCAGGTGTGAATTTAGTAATTACAAATAACAACTCCGCTCGAAGGTGATGAAGGATCACAAGAGAGGCTTCGACAGCAGCACTCGATCTCTGTAATTCGAAGTGAGAGGCGTTCATTTGAGTCGCTGGTCCAAATCATGACACTTAGTTTTGACGTTGAACTTTGCTGAAAAGCATCGCTGTTTAGTAGTGTTTTGCACTGAGCGATAATTGATGAATTTGAGAAACTATGAGATTTCGGAACAGGAAGATGCCAATCAAACGCGAATATAACCCGGTCAAGGCAATTTTGTTCCTATTAATCGCATGGCCCATTTCATGTATAAAAAGTGAAATTACATCACCAGTTTCAGCTTCACCGGAACTCGAGGAACAAAAGAGTAGGTTCATTCAAAAGTTATATTAACGGACTAAACTCAATCTTTGCACTTTCAATTTATTCATCATTTAATCTTAGCCTAAATGAAATTAATCAAAATACTCCAAATTTATCTTTAATAATATTCACTTTGCCTGAAACACAAACATGCACTCTCTTATTGTCTGTTGAATGGTAAATGTGAAAGTATGATTTGCAGACGTAGCAGTACTCAGCGGAGGAACGGACTTGTCAATAGATAGCTTCCTGAAGATGCGCGGTACTCTGCCCTCCCTGACTGCCTTCACGTTTTGCTTTCGAGGTCGAATCTTTCAGTACCGAGCGTCTCAAAACACAGTCTTGTCCTACGCTGTTCCACAATCCGACAACGAACTTTCTGTGTGTGAGTATACATTGCAGAATTTATATCAATCTGGCTTCTCAATTTAAATATTATTTTGAAAACAACACGTAATATGTGGAAAATATTTCTTTACCAATTAAAAACAATTTCAGAGCTTTCATTTTTTTACAATACAATTTGATGACAAGTTTTGTTCTTGTTTCTTGCAGCTTTTCAAGAGCCTCATGATTTTTTCCAAGTCGCATGCTGTGGATCAAACGTTCTGCTCCGTTTCAACTACAGCCTGGAAACACTCGAATGGACGTCGGTTTGCCTAGCTATGGATTTCCAAGCAAATGAACTCTCGATTATAGGTACTAAATTGATAATAGTTGAAGAGACAATCGTAAATTCTTCTCTGATTTTTCGAGAAGAAGGAATCGTTGGAGGCGGGGTGCTAGTTATCGGTCAGGATCAAGATGTCGTCGGAGGAAGTTTCAATCCTCTGCAGAGTTGGTGCGGAGAATTGGCAGATCTTCTCTTTTTGAACTGCACCATCGATATTGATGAAATGGTCTCCTACGTTGGTGGCCACAACATTAAAAACCACCGAGAAAAATGCAATCCGATATTTAC